GGCCAGGCATACTCAGGAAACCGTTAGAGAGCCTCAGGACTGATTGTGGAAGACGAACGACATGAATACGGTTTTTACAATCCCTCGGAGTTCTATCAAGAAGAAGGAAGCGGTACTTCACATGTGGACTTATCGTATTCTACAGATATGCCATCGAATCTCACTAATATGATGGGCATTCGAAATGACGTTCGTGATACGAAAATGCATGAACGTCTAAAAAAAGATTTGGTTGAGCATCTTTGGCAAAAATTCGGCTCATCCCAACAATAAAACCATGTTCGTTTCTTTTCTCAATTCCCATTTACTCTTTTGCAATTTATGTACGTCTTTTTAAATGTTTGTATAATATGTTTCCAATTATGGATTATGTAAAATATGTTTCTTTATTTCTAATGTAATATATGTAATTTTAATTTTTCCAATTTAGTATCATTTGTTTCCAATTATGAATAATGTCAAATTTTCTTTCAAATGTAATATATATAATTTATATTTTCCAATTTTGTATAATATGATTCTAATTTCTGAATTTTGTAAAATTTTCATCTTTCTTTTTAATGTAATTTATGTAAATTTAATTTTTAATTGTTAATTTGCATTATTTATTAATTTAGTTTAAATTTTAAAAAATTATATTATAATAATGCTTAAGTACCCATGAATTGGATCATGAGTGGAAGGCTTTTTTCTTTACCATTTCTAATTGATTTTTTTTAATTAGTTTTATTAAAGTTTAATGAAGCATTTAATGTTAAGTACCCTTAAGATGGATGATGAGTGGAGTTGCTCTTAGGCTTCTTAAGAACACAGACACCACCCTTGCATGAACCTTTCTTTGAAGATGGCTTCGAGAAACAACTAAAAAGCTTCGAGAAAAAACCCATCCTAGCTAGCTTCTTGAAATCTGAAAAACAATATTGGTGCTAATGGACTTTTTTAAGGATCTCTACGTGATATGTACCTAGTACCCACACCTTCTTATATATACCAACAGTACCATTAATTACTTCGTCATAAAGTTTAACCTAGGACGAAGGATCTTGATCAATATTTCAACTTAGGAAGCTTACCATTGTTTCCAAATGTAAAATTTACATTTATCACTGTCGTAGATTAGGAAACCTAGTTTGATCATACATTTACACAAGTGTTTGACATTCTTATACGGATTCTTCTTAATTTTTCTGTACTCGTATTTTCATGATTTCCATAGTGTTGCTTAGTCATTTCAACCGTTGGATCTTGATTTCATTCATTTTATCGATTTCTCCATAACATGTTGTAACTTAAAATTAGTTAATGAGATATGTCTCCATAACACTTTATTAAAGTGTGTTATAACTTAAAATTAGTTATACTATATGTTATACCTAAATGTAAGTATATATAAGTTAGAAATACATAAGGGGAATATATAATTTGAAATAGCCTCAACTTTTGTTTTAGTAGTTTTTAAATGTAAAGTAAAATTGGTTACATTAACCTCCAAATATTTCATATATGATAGCACACGGCGGAGGTAGAGAACTAAGAGGGGTGTCATGAAAACAAAAATTTAAGCTTGGCTTTTATTATAAAAGTTAGTTAACACATGTTTAAATAATCTATTGACACCCTTCCATAATTTTAGTGACACCTCTCAAACAAATATAAACTCTCTCTCGACCCCTATATTCAAAGCTGCTATTAATATTTTTCAAATAATGTTGAAATATATTCTACGTATATGGTTATTGGGCATTTTGCCAAACTGTTAGACTTTAACCTTTAAGTTTAATATATATTTTATTCGATTATGTAGCTAAACATAATTATAAGTTAGTTAAAAAAACAGTTCCTAAAACACTAAACGGTAAAAATCTAATTTCTCAATACCTAGACTATTTTTCTTCCTTCGTAATCTTTGCGTAATCATATTGAAAACTAGTGAATTGTAAGTCAAATTTTTTGTAATTTAAGAAACTTTGATAGTTCAAGTAATTAAAATACTAAACACGTTTTTGGATTTGTCAAAGTAAAATAGGGTTGCTTAATATAATATTTCTTACTTGGGTAGTTAATATATACCTCTGTTTCGGTGAAAATGAAATAATGGATAATAATTGTTAGTTTTTTATCTACGTCGAACAAAAAAAAAATTCAAAATATGAGTGAACGCAGAATTTATCTTAAATTCTTTTTTAATCTATTTTTTTAAGAAAAAATATTATGACCCCCATGGTTCATTTTTCTGGCTCCGCCACTATAATGATCTATGGTTGAGAATTTTACTAAAGTAAAATCATTTGTACTTGCATCACAACCCACAACTAATATTTGATTAATATTTTACCGCAATATATATATATATATATATATATATATAGTACTGCTTAAGTGACTTGGACTAATCATGTGCTAATTAAACTGCTAATCATATAGTACTCATGCATAACTGAACTTTTTTGCAACTGTAAATTCTAAAAAATACTTAAGCACTATGTAGTGTGTAGGATGAGTAAATATATTTACCATAAGCTGAAAAAGAAGAAGAAGATAAGATTCATAAGAAAACTTGGGGTTCTTCTTTTCTAGTAAACAAAAAAAATCTGAAGAGACAAAACGGTGACGTGGCTACACAAGATTGGCTAAAGGTCTATCTTCACAAAATGTTGATAGGAACAATATTATTAGATAACTCAACACTTTATGTTGTGTTTTGACCTTTGAAACCAGAAAAAAATGTGGTGTGCTTGTTATCATCAGCCATTATTATCCAGCTCCGTCGTCCTGAGAAGAAAACAAGTGGTCTGCTCCTTTGTATCCTCATGTCCTATAAGCTTAAGCCAACATCAATGGCAAATCAAGAACTATCCCAAGATTGGTATTAGACTCATAAAACCACAACAAGCGAGTGTTTTGCCTCCTTCCGAGTCTGGTGATATCACTACCTTCCTCCTTGTAAGGTTTGTCTCCTATTGTCTTCGTTTCTTTATTTCTAACTTTACAACAAAGATTAATTTCTCTAATATTTATTATCATTATTGGGGAATTTAATTTGCTAATTATATAGGTGTTGAGTAATAATCTACTTAATTAATTATTGCAGTGGAGTAATGATCTCCATGTATTTGGTTACCAATTTTCTGGTTCCATCGTTACTCTTCAAGTCGCTCCAAGGTGAAGAAGAAGAAGAAGAAGACTCAGATTAAGATATATATTAGCTCTAATTATGATTTTTATATGTTTTACTCTTATTTTTGGTTCGACTGAAGTTTCTTATAATTCTTAATTACATCGTCGTCCTATGCTAAATTATTGATATAAGATCCTATCATTTAGGTTCTACTTCTACATCAAATCATTATAGTGTTTTCAAAACACCAATACCTTTTTTTCAAATGGATTTGCCAATAGAAGAAAAAATAAAGCACTTATAGTATTATTGTTAAATATCAAATTTCAGATAATTTTTTGGCTACTACTACATAATAGCAAAGAATATGAAATGAGAAACATAAATGTTGAAATGAACATAATAATAATAATAATTTATTTGTATACATAGTAGCTAGCAAACTCATCTTTGTTAGGATTACTTCTTCTTAAGAACACAGACACCACCCGAGCATGAACCGTTCTTTGAAGATGGCTTCGAGAAACAACTAAAAAGCTTTGAGAAAAAACCCATCTCCTCCATCTTCTTAAAATCTGGAAAAACAAAATCGGTGCTAATGGACCTTTTTAAGGATCTCTACATAGAGCTCTATTTGTAGTACCCACACACACGCATATGTATATGTAACAACAATGTCAAAAATGACTTGGTAACTTAATAAATGTAAATATCTTAACTTAAAATTTTTTTTCCACTATCTTTAAATATATACTTTACATTATTTAGATAGGAAACTTAATAGGTTGATTGTATATCTCTACCTAAATAACATGTTGCCATTTTTTTGGATCCTTCTTGATTCTCTTAAAATTATAATAAAATAAGATATTCATGCTCTAATATGCTGACAAGTGACACGATTCTTTGTGATTAAAAAATTTATATTGAATTTTAATATCAATTTATTTTAGTCTAAAATAATTTTAAAATGTACTTACTTTCCCTCAAAATATCAAGTCATTTTACTCTTAAGATAAATTCAAAAAATTAAAATAAGCAATTCAAGATACAATGGTATAGAGCTACAAGATCTGATGAATGGCGAACTTATACAAAATATACCATTTTGATTGACATCACTCGTGGAAAATTATGTCGATTTAAAATTAATTTGTATGTTATTAGAAAAAAAAATATATTATTTGTCTTGTTTCGATCAGTTAACTTCGAATCTATTGAAAATCTTACAGTTTATATACATACTATAATCAATATAATATATACAGTTTCAAATTTGAAATATAATAGTCAAAGAATGTTGCATATATACTAGTAAAAAGTTTCTATAGCCACTTGAATATTCGTGACTGTGCATTCAATACAATAAATTATTTCAGAATTACATCAATGTAACATCTTTAGCTTTAAAAAAAAACAATGCATGTGTACATTAAAAAGCAAAGAAACTCAATCTACAAATATAATACAAAATCATAAAAGAAAAAAACTATATATAAAAGTATTAAAAAAACAAAAATGGTCTTGTATCACAGGATAAATCTTAAATGTGATCATGTATTACATATACTTAAAAATACACATACGTATGGAAATTGATAACCAACCGCATATACCATACCATATACATTAAAGTTCAGAAATTGCAACAACGCTCCTGTGTGGGTAACTTTAAAGAACATTCCAAGTTGTCTTTATTCAGATTGGGATATTAGTTGGATAGCTTCATGATTAGAAAAACACATACTAAGTACTAACTAACAAACCAAGGTTGGACGATCCTTATGGATGAAGCTAAGCTAATGGTGTAAGTGGAATTAGACAAGCCTTTTCCACAAAGGATTGCAGCTCCAGACATGACATCGACATGCAATGTCTCAATGGTCGATGTTAAATACTCTTGGCTCCCAAAAAAGTGTGAGAAAATGCAGCCATTTAGGATTCTCCTTTGGAATTTGTTGCACGTATTGAAAAACATAATGTTGTCTCTGGTCCAGCCAATTCTTGTCGCTCTTTGCAAAACGTTGAGATGGATTCAGCTGTAGCTTGCTCTTCTCCTCTTTCTGAGGAGGAACCATCAATACTAACTGTCACTGTACATGGCTTATCTCTCCCTAAGTGCGTCTGTAGACGCCAACTCTAATCCCACCATTTCTTTCTTCAAAGTTTGCACCAACTAAGGCTGCTTCATTGGTTGATATTCCTCTAGCTATAGTTAGTCTATTTACTCCTACCCTACTAGGCTCATTGGCAAATGAGGTCTTGCATGGGGATGTTTATGAGAGCAACTTGTTTGCTTCCTTAGACTATGGAGTTGATACATGTTTTGAGATGGGTGACTCCTCTTTAAGAACTCGAGGAGGAACGCCAAGCAAGCCTACGCAAAAAGTTCAAGAGAATCAATGGACTACGGTTAAAGGACGTGGCAAAACGTGGTCGTGTGCTCGCGGTTAATCGACCTTATCCTTTGTGTTATCTTTACCTAATCTAGAATTTACTCAAGTGTATGTTCTTCTCTTTTAACTACTTCCAAAAATACTATATGACCACAAAGTCATATCTTTGTAATTTTCTTTATGCATTTAATTTGCATGTCCTTTAACTAAAAAATAAATTACAACAACATATATATATATATATATATATATATATATATATATATATATATATCGTAACATCTTTATTACCTACCATAGAAACACATCTATATCAATATACTAACTCATTTAACTGATTTAAAAAAAAGCAAAAAAAAACAGTTGGACTCGTGGTGTACTACGGGATAAATCTTAATTTAACTTAAGAGATATAGATTTTAGTATAAAATTCATTCAGGTTCAAGATGTTTCTGGCTCAACGAGATGGTTCACTTTGAACCAAGACCGAAGCTTTCTCCTTTCTCCCATGGCGTCATTCTCTGTATCTATTGATACAAAACTAGACGTTTATCGAAGACTTGTAATTGTATAGAGTGATTGAGAACAAGTGACAGTGACAAGTTGTAAATTTTAAGCACAAACTAAAAACCCAAATTTTCTTGCTAGATTTTTGAAATTTAGTTTATTAATAAAGTTGTTATTTTTATTTTTTTGTCGACAAATTAATATAGTTGTTATTTGTGAAGAATTTGTAAGTATAGTACGAATCTATAATAAACAACACTACAATATATAGTTAGATTACATTGTCTAACTATATCTAGATGTATGTTTACTCTTTTTATATACATATGTATGTTTCCGATGATCCTACGTATATAATTCTTTTGACAATTTTACGCTCATCAAAGTCTAATTATTAGTTTCCCTAAAATCTTTAACCAAACAGAATTTATTAAACAAAGAAAAACATGACACAAAGGGTCTAAACCAGTCTTAAAACCATAAATATACCATGAAAATGAAAAACTTAAAACCAGTCTTAAAAACCATTAAGGATGTTTCCAAAAGATATTAAAAAGGAAAATGAAAATCAAAAGATAGTCAACCAAAATCTCACCCAAAGGACTTGAATGAAATTTGTTCTTTAAATATTCTTCTCCTTGCATTTAGATCAAACGAGCAGCTGCGATGTTTCTCAGTTTTTGGGCTCTCTTCTCTTTCAACCATGCCACAGTTTTTAGTGCCTTGTCCATACGCTCTTCCAACGATGACGCCTGCTCTTTCATCTTTTCAATTCTCTTTCCGTATGGGTCATCACCTGCACCGATGAACCAGTTATTACCAGCAACATTATCTTCCTTCTCAGCTTCATTACTGCACAACTTCTCCTCTGCACAGCTTCCTACCATGACACCATCCTCTTGGAACAAACGCTTTGGTTCCATGCTACCATCATCCATCAGATCTGCATTGCTTCCATGCATAACATTGTCACGTACTTCTTCATTAGCACCAAGGGGAGGATCAGAAGAGTTGTTTTCAACAAATGGGGTCATAGCAATATCATCTCCTGCCTCGCATCCACTTCCATCAGCCACATTTTCAGAGCCTGAAAACACAACACTACCATGATCACCTACGGTGTTTCTTAAACTCAATGTTCAAGCTGATTCATTTTTACCTGTTTGATGAGACAGAAACATGTACTTGCGTCTCTTCTTACGAGCTTGATTCGTGCGCTTGCCTCTCCCGACATGAGCTTGCTCCATGCACTTGCGTTTCCTGTTTAAGTACTCAGCAACACTCATTTCATCATCCTCATCGCTTGTGCTGTTCATCATGGAGCCTGAAGGAACAATGCTAGTACAATGATTATCACCTATGATGTTTCTTGTCTTCGAGGTTCCAGCATATACAACAATACCCTTCTCCTTAGAAGAATACTGTAACTCTGGAAACGTCTTCCTCCACCACTCACTGAACGTTGGAGTAAAACAAGGTTCTGTAGAACGGGAAGGAATGTATAGTTCCATAGCACTGATAGGCTTATTATAATCATTCCAAGCTGCCTCCTCTGAAAGGTTGTTCGGGGGAACAATAGAAGGAATATCCTGAAGCATCCCAAACTGTGAAGCCACTCTATTGGGGAAGTAAGACTCCACGTTGTCCATTCCAACAAGGAGAGACACCTTGTTGCATCGAGCAAAGGAGATGAATTCATCATCAAGACTCGGGGAAACAGGAACCGAGATAGCTTTCTCCGGGTAAAACTGAGGAAATTTCCAGTTGCCCACAGTTTTTGTGTAAGGACGCCACTCAAAACTGTCCATTTCCGAGTTTTCCAGTATCTGTCTCGCATCAGTGGTTTCTTGTTTCAGGTCACTCCAAAGAGCCAATCTTGGCTGATCATCTTTTAGCAACGGATTAGGTTGTGGCTGTAGTTCCTTGAATCTCTCCCATGTCCAAACCTGAAGCAACTTAAACAAGGCAGTCACACCAATGTTGGCAACAACAGTGTCCTCTTTGCTTGAATCTTTGATGTGTTTTTGTAGGAGAGCTAGGTCTGCATACAAGTGAGCCAGAACTGGAGGACCAAGAGCTAATTTAGTACCCATTGAGAGATGAACAGCAATAGGGAAAACAGCTTGATAGACATTGGGGAAAGTTGATGGGAAGACAAAATAGCTAAGCCACAAAGAAAGGAAGCCTACATGCTCTAGTTCATCCCCAGCGTTCATGAATCTATCCATCCATGTCTTTTGTGTGACCCAACTTACGTTACCTCTTCGTCGAATCTCACACCATTCGTCGTTTAGGTTCTTCAGAATCCTCTCCCCGGAGCTATCCAGAGTAGCAAAAAACGGTGTGCCCAGAACAGAGAACCCCGAAAGCAACATAACGTCTTCAAGGGTTATGGTAGCTTCACCCCAGGGGAAGACGAAGGTTTTGGTTTCAGGACACCATTTCTCAGCAATCCCCAAAACGAGATCTGCGTTTCTGATGATCTTTCGCGTCGATGCAACAACAGCGTCGAAGATTCCAGCTTTTCTCCAGACGGCTTCGTGGGAAGAAGACATCTTTTCAACCCATGACTTATAGTTCCACTGTGGAACTCTCCAACCCTTGAAAGTAACAGTTGAAGACATAGCCTTCTGTTGTGGGGAAGGGGCCGAGAGAATCTGGCAAGGAAGCATCAGTGGAGGTGGTGAAGAAGAGCTTGAGAGTGTGAGGTGCCGAAGAAGTGTATGAGAGTATTGAGAGAGGTGGTGTTTTTTTTTCTCTTGCTCTTTGGTTGATTGGTTTTCGAGGGAAACCAATTGTCGATAAGAATTATGAAAGTAATTTTTTTTTTGTTTTTGGTAGAACCATATTTGGTTTGGTTCATTGCATGAACGTTTGACTAAAACGTTGGCAAATAAATTTTTTTTTTTTGGTAAGAAAGTTGGCAAATAAATTTATTTGTAAAGATGATGAGCTGGACTAGATTCCTTAGCATTTTCAGACATAATCGGAAAAGGAAAATATTTTTGGTTTGACTTTTGTGATTAATTAGATGTTTTCATATAATATGATGTATTTTTGGTTTAGTATCGGGTTGGTTTGGTGTCCGGTTTAGGCTATAACCGACGCATGTGTGTTTTCAGATTTCACATGGCAATTTAATCAAGCTGATATACATAAAATAAATATTTATCCTCCCAAAATCCTTTTTAAACATCTTACGTTGTAATAGAGAAAACAAAGTTTTGTTATGCATGAGTACTGTATGACCGCTCAAACCAACCTCCAACACGCCTAGTTGTAGCGAGCTGCGATTCTTCTCAGTTCTGCGTCTCTCCTTTCTATTATCAATGCCACATCTTCTTGTGCCTTCAAAATACGCTCCTCTATTGACAATAGCAGCATCGTCAGTTCTTGTATTCTCTTTTTAGCTGAATTCTTATCAGCCTCAAAATCAAAACCGTTGTTTCTCTTTTCACTCCCGAGGGCATTTTCATGAAGCAAACAGTCTTGTCCATGACTTCCTTCCCCTACACCAATGTGAACGTTTGACTGATCACCACATGGGCTCAAGCTTGTTTCATCTCCACAAGCAAGGTTTTGATGAGGGCTTGAGCCATTCTTGTCTACATTTAATGCTAGCTCCTCTATTATTGCAAGATTCTTTTTCTGGATCAAACTGTCATCACCAGCTACATCATCTTCCTTCTCAGCTTCACTACTGCACAACTTCTCATCTGAGGTCGCCTTTTCTCCTGCTAAGATACTATCTTCTTTGAGCCAACAGTCTGGTTCCTTGCTGCCATTACTGATCATGTCAATCTTCTCTGCATAGCTTCCATGTACATCAAGCTCATCATCACGGGTTTCCCTTGTCTCTAGTGGTGACACAATAATGTCAACCACTCCTCGATTAGTACCAACACCCAGAGAAGAGTCTGAAGAGCTGTTATCATCAAATTGGCTCGGAAACTTCCCTGTTTTGTTTCCAGTTTCATCAGTCTGTACATCGAGCCTATCATCACAGAATTGTCTTGTCTCTGGTGCCACTTCAACAATGTCCATTGCTTCATCGAAACTAACAGGATGATCAGACAAATTGGTTTCATTAAATGGACTCAAAACCATACGCTTCTCTGCGTTGATTCCTGCTTCATCAGTTTCTTCATTCCTTTGCTCTTTTTCTAGTGGTGGGAAAGTTTTCTCTCCATTATCTCTTATCGAAGCAAGCTTTTGACAAGGCCCCAGATCATTGTTATCCGCCTCAAGTCTAATCTTTTTACTAGGCGGTTCAGAAGCAATGGTGTGGCTATCATCTTCTTTATCCTTGTCTGACGGAACCTGCGCCTGACAACGACCTACATTATTTTCATCTTCCAATTTTAGATCTGATTTAACAACCCGCGACACCTCAGAAGAACATTGGAACTCCAAAAACCACTTCCTCCGCCACTCACAGAACATTTGAGTGACCTGAGGTGGTGCAAAACGGGAAGGAATGTATATTGTCACATCATCAATAGGCTTGTTGTAATCATTCCAAGCTGCATCCTGTGAGAGGTTGTGTCGGTTAGCAGGAGAAGGAACATCCTGAAGCATCCCTAACTGTAAAGCCACCCGATTGGGAAAGTAATTCTCCACACAATAAATTCCAACAAGCTCAGACACCTTAAAGCATCGAGCAAAGGAGATAAAGTCATCATCAAGATTGGGATCAACGGGAATCCACATCGCTTTCTCGGGGTAAAACTGAGGAAATTTCCAGTTTCCCACATGTTGTGTGTATGGACGCAACTCAAAACTGTCCCTTTTTGAGTTCTTGAAAATCTTCCTTGCATCGCTCGTATCCTGTTTCAGGTTTTGCCAACGAGCCAATCTCGGCTCACCCTTTTGCATCAGATTAGGTGTTGGTTGTAGTTGCCAGAATCTCTCCCATGTCCAAACTTGGACCAATTTAAACAAGGCAGTCAGATAAATTTTGAGGTTAAACGTTGATTCCTTGAAATCTCTGATGTGGTTTCTCAAAAGACTTAGCTCTGCATACAAGTGAGCAAGAACAGCAGGAGCAAGGGCAACCCTAGTACCTCTTGAAAGATGAACAGCAATTGGGAAAATATGTTCAGAGTGTTGATAATAGCGTGATGGAAACACAAAGTAGCTAAGCCATGACACAATAAAAGCAACATGCTCAAGCTCATCACCACTTTCCATGAATCTCTCTATCCATGCTACTTGGTTTGCAGAAAAGCCTTTATCTTTCTTAATCCTAAGACATTCTTTCTCCAGCTTAGCCATTGTCTCCCTTCCTGACATATCCAGAGTAGCAAAAACCGGCAAACCCAAAACAGAGAAACCCAAAAGCACCATAACGTCTTCAAGTGTTATTGTTGCTTCACCCCAAGGGAAAACGAAGGTTTTGGTTTCACAACACCACTTCTCAGCAATACCCAGAACCAAGTCTATGTTTTTAGGGATTTTGATTAGGGATGCCATAATTGCGTCAAAGATCCCAGCTTTTCTCCAAGTGTGTTGGTGCACATCAGACATCTTCTTAGCCCAAAGCTTGAAATCTTTGCTCGCAAATCTCCAACCATGGAAGGAAACACTTAAAGGCAGAGCCTTTGACTGAGGAAAAGGAGCTGAACGACTTTGACGAGGAAGCATAGCCTCAGATTCACCAATGAAGCAGGGTTTAAAAAGTTGGGTTTTTTTACGGCTAGATCTTCCAACAAGAGCAGAAGAAGTTGGTCTCTGAGTCTCTCCCACGGCAGAGGGTTCTTGAGCTTCTGCTCCGTGAACCTCATCAAGCAATTCATGTTTGAACACTTGAGAAGAAGGTGAAGCCATCTACAATAGAAAAAAAAAATAACAGCTTTGAAATCAATAATTCAAAATCACATATATCATCTATAAGTTTTCACCTAACCCAAAGGGAAACAGCTCAACAAGTTAGCATTTTTATCAACATCTAAATGGTTTGGTTATGTGGCGACTAAAAGTCTAAGACTCATCACACAATCGACTCAAAACATCACTCTCGAAATGCAACTCCAAAGTCCACAAACACAGACTCGCACCACATAAGACTCACTCGATTCTCCAAGACTCAAAACCACACCACACCAGAACCGAGTCAAACCATAGCAAACTCGTTTTTTTTTTTTTTGACAGAACAGAGACATACCTTTAAGGTCAAGAATCGTCGGAGGTTGTGGTCTGTGTAGCTGCCGTACGAGATCAAAAGAGATAATATGTTTTCCTCTTTCTTTGTTTCGTTTAAAACTAAGGGTTTCTCTTTTTAAGCTGGAGAAGAAGAAGAAATAGAAAGTTTTGCTTTTTATCTCATTTTTGGGTATAGTGTTTGACAGGAAGACTAAGGCAAAAGAAATGATGTTGCAGAGCCAGGATATTGAATGGGAACAGTTTCTTTTTAAGGTAATCAATCCAATTGGATAAAGTCTTATCAATCAACTTTACATTACTATTCAACAAAACATAGATACCCCAAATTTAATTTGCATTTTGAAAAACACGATAGGTAATAGAGGCATTTTGCAATTTTCTTATTTAATCAAAACCAAACGGAACTACAAAAACTAAATTCTACACTATGGAGTATTTAAAATTAAATACTACTCGGATTTACCCCGTGGTGCACCACGGGTCAATTTTTTATTTTTATTTTCATTAAATTTTAAATTTTCTTAGTATAGTTTGTATTTGATTTACTGTTTTTGCGTGTTTATAAATGTTTAGAAGTGTTTGTTCTTGGCTTTAATAGTTTCGTATTATTGGAAAGTGTATATTGTTAAGAATACGAAGTTTATGTCAATAAAAATTTCAAAATAGACTAATTAGAAATAACTGCCGAGAGTTATGGCAAGTATAAGCGATTACGATCTCTTTTGGCAATAATAAGATAATAAATAATTAGATTAATAGATTGTGGAAATTAAATTTAAACACATTTATGTTTTCTAGTTGTAGGATCCGATTACTTAATTCCGGGTTATATAAACTAATTTTGACCCGGTCCAAATTTTCCTTAAAATGAGTTTTGGTCAAATTGTACTCCAAAAATGTTAAGATAGATATGAGAAGCCATGACTATATATATATATATATATATATATATATATATTTTTTTTTGGTCTTGCTATGACTATATAAGTTTCTTGTTTTGGAACAAAGATGACAATGTGACCTCTCTAGTTAAAGTATCTCACTGCGCCTAAGTCAACATATTGATTCCTGCCCACTTCTAGAAACGTTAAACCTACCTTCAGTTATAATTTGTTTCTAGCAAGTTCATTTTAAAAAATCTTAAGCTGAACTGCAATAGTGCAATACATTTTTTTTTTTTCTGTTTTTTACAAGCAAATTTATACGGCATATGTGTATCTTCTATTATTACCCTATTGCACAAACAAAATCTATTCCAGTTCCAGACAGGTTTGTTTAATGCTTTGGAGAAGAAAGAAGACTTCATCTCGAGACAGGTTTGTTTAATTTCACTTACATCATCTTTAGGAATGCTTAATTAGGGGTCTAGGTTTTAATAACTTTGATAAAGGTATGTTTAGGACCAACCCTAAACATCTAGTGGTCTAAATAAGTATATTTATTGATGTTGTTGACTAATGCCTGGATTTGGATTGTGGTTCTGTTATCATTTAACCATTGACTGACTAGAACAGGACCAACCCTAAAACATTGTACAAGAATTCTTAACAGTATCTTTACTTTCTCAACTCTCTCATGCAGTTATTGCAGGCTCTCTGAAGATACTTTATCAATTATCTCTTCACTTGATGTTACATGTATGTAATCACAAAGGTGAGGTTGATCTTTGATATTCTACTTGCATTTGATATTCAACCTCAACCTCGAACCCGCCTAGATCAAACGATCTGCTGCGATTTTTCACTGTTTCTCGGCTCTCCTTTCTTTCAAAAATAACATTGAATTTTGAAAAGATATGTTGTGCTGAATATCAATGATGGTTGTGCACTCTGGTAATTAATGGAGAATATGACATTGTTGGAATAAGGTATATGAATTTGTGGATTTAGAAATCTGAATGGTGTATGTGATACTGTCGTGGTGGTTACTTTTTTAAAAGTTTGTTTATCTTGGTCCCTACTCCCTAGGCATATATGATTTATTTCACTTGCTGGAATTAGACTGTTCCATTTTAGGATGAAGCTATTTCTGTAAGTAAATTCTGATCTGCAACACACCAATAAGCTCATAACTAGGTTCAAATCAAAGTGAAACACTTTAGGCCAACAAGTCCTCAAAAGATATAAAGCTAGCTTCATGTTCTTGTGTCTCCTCTTTACATCGTCAGCTATTTGCATTCCATCCTTGCTTGTTCTGTTCATTTAAGAGCCCGAAAGAATCAAAACTAGTATCATCTTCACTTTTGATGGTTCTTGACATCAGTGTGGTAGCTGATTCATTGCTACCGTTTCCACGAGCTTGCTTTATGTACTTACGTATCTTGTTTATTAAACCCTCAGCTGTCTTCATATTATCCTCACTTGTTGCGTTCATCTTAGATCCGGAAGGAACAAAACTATTATCCACACCTGTGATGGTTCTTTCTCTCAAAGTTTCGTCTGATTCAGCAACCAGATTCTCTCCCGGAAGATACTTGAGTTCAGGAAACGACTTCTTCCACCACTCGCCGAATGCTAGAGTAACACAAGGTATTGCAGAACGAGAAGGAATGTGTAATGTCAAATCATCGATAGGCTTAATATAATCATTCCAAGCTGCCTCCCGCGTGAGGTTGTTCCGGTTAACAGGAGACGGAACATCCTGAAGCATTCCAAACTGTGAAGCAACTCGATTGGGGAAGTAATGCTCCACATTGTCAATTCCAACAAGCTTAGATGCCTTGATGAATCGAGCAAAGGAGATGAATTCATCATCAAGACTCGGGCAAACAGGAACCGACAGAGCTTTCTCCGGGTAAAACTGAGGAAATTTCCAGTTTCCAACAGTTTTTGTGTAGGGACGCCACTTAAAACTGTCCATTTCCGAGTTGTCCAGGATCTGTCTCGCATCAGTGGTTTCTTGTTTCAGGTCACTCCAAAGAGCCAATCTTGGCTCACCTGCTAGCAAGGGATTAGGTTCTGGCTGTAGTTCCCTGAATCTCTCCCATGTCCAAACTTGAACCAACTTAAACAAGGCACTCAAATCAATTTCGACCCTAATATGCGATTTGCCAAAAGCTCTGATGTGAGTTTTCAAGAGACCTAGCTCTGCATACAAATGAGCAAGAACAGCAGGAGCAAGAGCAATCCTAGTACCACTTGAAAGATGAATAGCAATTGGAAAAATAACCTCATAGACACGGTGGAAGCATAATGGAAACACAAAGTAGCTAAGCCACAACACAAGAAAAGCCACATGCTCAAGCTCATCTTCAGTGTTCATGAATCTCTCCATCCATGTCACTTGTGTTACGAAACCGACTTTACCTTTTTGTTTAATCTCCATCCATTCTTTTTTTAGCTTCTTCATAATCTCCTCCCCTGAGCTATCCAGAGTAGCAAAAACCGGGGAACCCAAAACAGAGAAACCTGAAAGCAACATAACGTCTTCAAGGGTTATGGTTGTTTCACCCCAAGGGAACACGAAGGTCTTAGTGTCAGGACACCATTTCTCAGCAATACCCAGAACGAGATCTGTGTTTCTGAAGATTTTGTATGTGGATGCTACAACTGCTTCAAAGATCCCAGCTTTTCTCCAGATGGGTTCGTGCAAAGCTGCCATTTTTCTAGCCCAAAACTTAAACTTAGTGCTTGCAAATCTCCACCCATTGAAGGAAACACTGAAAGGTAGAGTCTTTAAGTCAGGAGAAGGAGCTGAACGTTTCCGACGAGCTTCAGATCCATCAATGGAGGTTAGACAAGGTTTTAAAAGATGGTTTTTTTCTCTACTAGGTCGGCTACTGTTCTCAGCGGGAGACTCCATGAGATGAGAAGATCTTCAGTGTAATCGGAGAAGAAAACGAAAGCTAGAAACGTTTGTGTGAAGGTGAAGAAGACACACGCAGAAACTATTGTTGCAGGTGAGTACTAAAGAGGAACGGTTGTTTTAAAGGTCATTGGTGTTATGAGTAACGATAAATATAGAAAAAAAAAAAAAAAAAAGATTGTGACGGAAAAAGTTATTTGCAATTTTTGCAAAAACTCATACTTTTGTTCTTCGGTTTCTCAACCCTCTCATGAATTTTCATCGACTCAAAACTCATCGGAATGTCTTGTTGTAATACATGCAGTTATTGCAGCTGCTGCTTACATAGTCATGGCGTCATGGGACTACGGTTTGCTGCAGACTCTGAAGATTATGCCGGCTGCTTTGGTTGCTGGGATCAGGTTCAGGTACTTCATTAATTGTCTTTTCACTCGATGTTACCTACAGTATATGGAATCGCTCATGATGAGTTTTTAATTATCTTCATTACATTGATTGCTTAGATTTTGATTATACTTAATTTAATTTTCTTATAGTTTCACTTAATGGAATCAGACTTTTCCATTTAAGGATGAAACTATCCCTGTAAGAAAAATTCTGATCTGCAACACACCAAGAAGCTACTAGCTCATAACTGTGTTCAAAAGATTCAAATGAAACACTTGAAGAAAACAAGTCTTCAAATTCAGAGCTCATTCTGGATAAAAGTAGCTACTCACTATTGTAAGAAAAGTTATGTAAAACAGAGCTTTAATAGTTCAGAGCTGGCTGGCTGGCTTTCTTAGGATTCAAAGTCTGGAACTTATAACCTAAACCGCCATAATAAAATAAACAGATGCATAGATCTATATAACCTGCAAGAAATTCTGATCTAAAACACACCAAGAAGGCAAGAAGTTACTAGCCCATAACTGAGTTCAAAAGATTCAAATGACAAACTTAAAAAGCAAACCAGTCCTCAAAATATACTAAGCAGGAAAATCAAAAGATACTACTAAACCAAAAGATCATATAGATATGAGGCTGAACTTTTGATATTCTACTTGAATTTGACTTCTCCTTTCTTTATCTACTTGTTAATTTTTCTCTGTTTTATAGCTCTCCTTTTATTCAGCCATGCCACAGTTCTTTCTGCTTGAAGAATACGCTCTTCTATCGTTAATGCCAGCACCTTCAGCTCTCGAAATCTCTTTTCAGTGGTGTCATTATCAACGTCACCATCACCAAAATCATGGTTTCTCTTTTCCAAATCCTCTAACTGCTCACTGGATTTCTTGGTTTCTTCACTTCCAAAACCATCGTCATGAAGCAAACAATTTTGTCCCTGACTTCTCTCACCTACAGTGATGTGAGTGTCTGACTTATCAGATGGGCTGAGAACCATACTCTTATATGATTTGCTTATTTCATTTTTTTCTCCCTTTTGTACATTCTCACTGATCCTTCCATCATCACTTTCATTCTTAGTTTCACTGCACAACTTCCCATCTGATCTCGCCATTTCTCCAGCCACCGTATCAATATCATGTTCATAATCTGATCTCGTCATTTCTCCAGCTACGGGATCATCTTCATAGAACAAACACTTTGGTTTCTTGCTGCCATCATTGATCATAGTCTTTTTCTCTGCATAGCTTGCATACACATCAAAATCATCATCACAGTATTGCCTTGTCTCTGGCACTGGTACAACAATGTCATGTGCTCCATCAACATCAACAGGAGAATCTGAAGAGTTAGTTTTATGAGATGGGCTCAGAACCATACGCTTCTCAGCTTTTCTTCCTCTTTCATCAGTTTCTGTTTCTTCATTCCTTTTCTTTACTTCCGGTGCTGGTACAGTTTCATCTCTATCATAGCTTTTCGAAATAAGCTTTTGACAATTCCTTAAATCATTCTTACGCGCCTCAAGTCTGCTTTTTTTGTCAAGCAGCTCAGAAGCACCTTCCCCACTGTTCTTAAGATTACTATGCATCTTCTTATAAAGTTTCCTTCGTACAGCAACGGCGAGTCTCTCATCATCGTCATCATTTTCTGATGAATCCTGTTTCTGACAACGACCCAATGTACTCTCATCGTTCCCATGAGCTTGCTTTGTGTACTTACGTCTCTTGTTTGTTGAATTCTCAGCTATCTTCATTCCATCCTCGCTTCTTCTGTTCATCTTAGAGCTTGAAAGGACCAAACTAGTGTCATCTCCTGTGATGGCTGATTTCAATGTTTCAGCTGATTCAACAACCTCCTTCCTCCACCACTCGCAGAACATTGGTATATAACAAGATATTGCAGAACGGGAAGGAATGTATAATGTCATACCATCAATAGGCTTATCGTATACATTCCAGGCTGCCTCACGTGAGAGTCTGTTACCTTTAACGGGAGAAGAAACATCGTGACGCACCCCAAACTGTGAAGCCACCCGATTGGGAAAGTAATGCTCCACACTGTCAATACCAACAAGCTCAGACACCTTGATGCATCGAGCAAAGGAGATAAACTCATCATCAAGACTGGGACCAACAGGCACGCGCATCTCCTTTTCAGGATAAAATCGAGGGAAATTCCAGTTTTTCATAGTTTTTGTGTAGGGACGCCACACAAAACCATCAGTTTTCGAGTTGTCTAGAATCTGCTTTGCATTGCTGGTTCTCTGTTTCACGTTAGCCCACCGAGCCAATCTTGGCTCACCCCTTAGCAAAGAAAACGGTTTTGGTTGTAGTTCCCTGAATCTCTCCCACGCCCAAACTTGAACCAGCTTAAACAAAGCAGACAGGTCAATCTGTACCTTAATAAGCGATTGGCTGAAAACTCTAATGTGGGATTTCAAGAGGCTAAGGTCTGCATACAGGTGTGCAAGAACAGCAGGAGCAATAGCCATCTTAGTACCATATGAAAGATGAACAGCAATTGGCAAAATAGCTTTAGAGAGATGAAATAAGTCTGATGGAAAGACAAAGTAGCTAAGCCACAACGCAAGGAACCCAACATGCTCAAGCTCATCACCACTGTTCATGAATCTCTTCATCCATGATAATTTGCTGACCAGAACGACTTTATCTTTCTTAATCTTCTTCCATTCTTTCTCTAGTTTCTCCATAACCTTCTTTCCTGAGCTGTCCGGAGCAGCAAAAACCGGCAAACCCAAAACAGAGAAGCCTAAAAGCAACATAACGTCTTCAAGGGTTATGGTTGCTTCACCCCAAGGGAAAACGAAGGTTTTGGTTTCCGGACACCATTTCTCGGCAATACCCATAATAAGATCTGTGTCTTTAGGGACTTTGTATGTAGATGCTATCACTGCTTCAAAAATCCCAGCTTTTCTCCAAATGGGTTCGTGCAAAGATGCCATTTTTCTAGCCCAAGACTTGAACTTTTTGTTTGGAAACCTCCAACCACAGAAGTTAACACTCGCAGAAAGAGCCTTTGAGTGAACAGAAGGAGATGAACGATTTTGCTGAGCTTCGAATCCATCAATGGAGGTGAGACGACAAGGTTTTAAAAGATGGGTTTTTTTGCTACTAGATCGATTCCTGTTCTCGGTAGGAGACGCCATGAGCTCTTCTCTCTTTTCAACGAAGATCTCTTCAATTAATGGAGAAGAAAAAGATGAAGTCTAGAAAAGAAAATTAACGCCTTTTTGTTTTCTTGTGGCTTAATGTTTGAGATTCAAGGCACGCAGAGACTATGTTGCAGGTAGGAGCTAAAATGAAATAGGTGTAGTAATGAACAAAGATCAAATAATAATATTTACTCATCTGGTCAATATCATTTAAGGGAAAATTGTGCGTGGACACACTTTCAAAAGTTTAATTGCACTATGACACACTTATAAACTTATGGTGCACTTTGGAAAAGTTTCTTTACTCTCTCACCCTCGCTTTGACAACATATTAACTCATTTGTCATCCCAACTAAAATTCTACACAACTAAACACTTACGTTCTCTTCTTCTTCCTTTTCTTCTTCCTCTTTTTCGATTCTTTCCCTTTCTTTCTCTTTCTCTTTCTCATTTTTTTTATTTCTTTTTTATAATCACTTTATCTTGTTATTATAACAATATTTTATATTTATTTTTGTACAATACTCAATATTTCCATTTTTCCTATATTTGAAGATGCATTTTACTATATATTTGGATGAATTATATTATATATTATCCATTTGTAATTGACCATTTATTCGCTGATAATTGGATGGTCAATTGTAATATCATTTCTGGATATACATACTTGTGTTTGGACATTTTAGCAACATGTGGTTACTTTTTACATGTTTTAGTATAAATGAGTGCATATGTACATGAGAACATTCCAATAAATATGAGTGTAAATGAGTGTGTCTCTGTATATGTGAACATATGGACAATAATCGTCTATCCAACATTGAAGATGAGAGTATTAAGAATGATTGGAAGCATTTTTTGGACAGAATAGGTCATCGGTATCCAAAAAACCTCATCCACATTTGAGAGATTTGTTAATGGAACGATTGAAAGGTGCTTGCGGATTACAATGATAATGCGTTGAAATTAGGTTTGAGAGATTTGCTAAAGTTTTCAATTACGAATAAATCTTCTCATTTCGATAGAAAAGATTTCTTGGACAAGGTTTCGTGGATAACTTTTAGTGGACATATTCTTCAGCTCTTGCATCTTGAATTATATTCCAATGAGATACTATAACAACTACACCAACATGCATCTTATACTTCATAAACAAAGTTTAAAGGAGATAATTTTGTGACCAAATTTAGAGAAAAGAGTCAGTTTTATGGATATTGTCCAACATATGCAGTTTTTGTGGATATTGTCTAATGGACGTTGAGCTTGTTGCTTTTGTTCAAGACTTGAATTTTCCCTAACATGTCATTTGCTTGAATAATGTAACGATGGAAAAGAGTTCATGGATAACCATGATAATGTCGAAATTTGGTTTGTGGATTTAGTAAAGCTTTTAAGCATGAATAAATATTCTCATGTCGAGTATATCGGGTGGACAAGCATGCATGTCGAGTATATCGGGTGGACAAGATTTCATGGACAACATTAATAAGAGAGAGAGTGAGTTTGGATATTTTCAACTATCCACCATCTTCTAAACATTTTGATCACATGTGTCGATTTTCAAATATCCATTTTCAATAATCTACTGTCTCAAAAATTCACGTTAGTTTCACATATTTTATGGTGTCCATGTTGTACTTTCCATATGGACAATATAATTTGCACTTTAAATATAGCAAAATGGATCTCATTATATAGAAAAAAATACAATTACCATGTATTTTACAAAAATAAATGAAAATTATTTTCTTGATAACACATAAAATTGAGAATAAAAGAAAAAAGAACAAGGAAAATGAAAAAAAGAAAGAATTTATCTATCAACACATTTGAACTATACCTACGCCGTCGTCATTCTTTAATTTTATTTTGAAACAGCTAATTTTCACTAACATGTTATATTATAATATTAAATCGTAACTGTGCTGGGTAACTATAGTTACTACGTAACTAAAAAACGGAACATCAGCAAAATGTTGCTTTTTTACTTTATTAGGCCAGAGGTGTCTTTTTTTGACACAAACAGTGGCCAAAGTACACTATAAACTCGGAAGTGTGTTATTTATAAGTTATACCCTTCAAAGTGTGTCAACAGGTAAATCACCCATCATTTAATATGTTTCCATCTTTTTGTGTGTTAGAAATATACAAGAAAAATATTAACTTTTTATTATAGAGAATTAGAGATAACTTTCATAGGATTAAGATTGATACTTAAATCCCTACCAAAAAAAAAGATTGATACTTAAATGGTATTTACAACCTGTAAAAGAAAAATGGCATTTTTAAAAAGAGTTGCTTTCTAAAGCATGGGCGGCATTTATAGAAAATGAAAATGAAATTCTCAAATCAAATAAGACTTAAACCTGAGACTTTAATCAATGATTCAAATCAAACCAAACGATAATTATCAAAGACTAACTTCTATTTAGATTATGTTTGTGAACACTCGAAGTTTTACAGTGTCTAATTCAAAAGCAAAGGTAATGTTTCCTCTATTTGATATGTCTTTCTAATACTAACAACACCATAAATATTTGTTTCTGGTAAGTTCTCTCAAATGCAAAAGTAAAAATGGGCAAAAGACAATCACACTCAAATATTGTGATATGTGTGACAATTTGCTGTTTTGTTAACTAAGCAGAAACTCCATTTTTAGTCTGGTTTCCTCTGGTTTTCCACACTGTAATCATCGCCAAAGTCTTCTCCATCTCAGCAATACGTGCCTCAAGCTTCAGTGCTATCTCTTTTACTGCAAGCTTTCTCTGTTTCAGTCTTTCATCAAGCTCTTCTTCTTTCTTAACTTCACTGCACAACTTCTCATTGCACCTCTGTTTTTCTCCGTCTTCTTGGACCAAGCACTCTGATTTTTTCGTCCCATCTCTTCCAATGCCTTGCACAACAGATCCATTATGTTGCTCACCATCGATTATACTCTTCTTCTCTGCAGTATTTCCAATCACGTCAACCTCAAAATCATTAAGAATCTCCCTTTTCGTCTGTGATTTGCTTGCAGTTTCATCATCCTTTTCCCTCCTTTGCTCTACTTCAATCGACGCATGCTTTTTAAAAGGCTCTGAATCATCATCGCTGTCCACTGCCAGATATCTTCTAGTTCTTTTTCCAAGTGTTTGAGAAGCATCTCCGACATTATTCTCTGCATCACTACTATACTTCTTTCTAGATCCGATCCTTCGAGCAATAGTTATGTTATCATCTTCTTCATCCATAGAACTCTCATTATCATCCTCGTTAGCTCGCTTCATCTGCACTGGCTTGTAAATGCTTTGCTTCAGCTGCACTGGCTTGTAAATGCTTTGCGGCAGCTGTACTGGCTTGTAAATGTTTTGTGGCAGCTGCACTGGCTTGTACATGCTTTGCTTCAGCTGCACTGGCTTGTAAATGCTTTGCGGCAAATTCACTGGCTTGTAAATGCTTTGCTTCAGCTGCACTGGCTTGTAAATGCTTTGTGGCAGCTGCACTGGCTTGTAGATGCTTTTCTTCAGCTGCACTGGCTTGTAAATGCTTTGCTTCAGATGCACTGGCTTGTTAATGCTTCTCTTATTTGTAAAATCCTCACTTGTCTTGTTCATCTTCCAACCAGATGATACACGACTGTTTACCAACCCTCCTATCTTATCTTGCTTTACTAATCTATGCATCCTAGATCTTCTGCGTTTTGAGGAAAAACCTTCTTCCAATTTCTGAACCATATGACTGAAAGGCAGTACCTTGGGAGATGCATCAATAGTTATGTTATCATCTTCATCATCCATAGAACTCTCATCATCATCCTCATGAGCTCGCTTCAGCTGCACTGGCTTGTTAATGCTTCTCTTATTTGTAAAATCCTCCTTTTTCTTGTTCATCTTCCGACCTGATGATACACGACCGTTTGCCAACCCTCCTATCTTATCCTGCTTTACTAACCTATGCATTCTAGATATTTTGCGTTTTGCAGACAAGCCTTCTTCCAATTTCTGAACCACATGACTCAAAGGCAGTACCTTGGGAGATGCACCAATATCACCATCATCATCATCATCATCATCATGATCAGATTTATTCCTTGCAGTAAAAGTTTCACTTGTTTCTTTCTGCATTTCTGCAGAACCCAAAAACTTTGAAACTGAATTCAGCCACCAGACTCGGTATCTTGCAGTGACAGAACCTCGGTCAAGGCGACAAGGCATGTAGAGCTTTAAACCATCAAGTGACTTACTGTAATCATTCCAAGCCTCCTTTTCTGTACAGTTTCTGTGACGAGAAACCAAAGCAGGAAGAGCTTGAGCCAAACCGAACTGCATCGCCACTCTATTGGGGAAGTAATCCTCTAAAAAACCATCTCCAACAAGCTGAGAAACTGTCACACATCTAGCAAAAGAAGCAAACTCATCATCCACATTGTCATCAACAGTCACCCACATAGCATCCTCAAGGTAAAACCGGAGTGGGTTCCAGTTCTTTAGCGGTTTAGTGTAAGGACGCCACTCAAAATCATCAAAACTCAATCTCATTTTATTTCTTTGTGGCAGAGCGCCCCACTGAGCTATCCTAGGTCCACCTTTGGGTATCTCTCTAGCTTTTGGTCTTGTGTTTCTGAATCTCTCCCATGTCCAAACTTGTACTAACTTAAACAGAGACTTGAAGTTAATTTTGTCAGCACATTTTTCTCTAGAAAAATCACAGATTCGACCCAAATCTCTGTAGAGGCTAGCGAGAACAACAGGGGCAAGAGCAATCCTTTCACCTCTAGCTAAACGAACAGCGATTGGTGTAACATACTTGGAAATACCACGACGAGCTGTACCAGGAAATACAAAAAGCGAAAGCCACGAAACCAGAAAAGCTTCATGCTCCATCTGACCACCTCTACCTGAAAATCTCGAAATCCATGAACTTACCCTCACATAGTTACCGCTGCATTTAGTCTCAGATATTGCTTTATCCAGTTTCTCTACGGCATCTCTCATCTCCGAGCTTTCTAAAGGGGCAAAGATCGGAGAGCCCAAAACAGAAAACCCTAAAAGCACCATCACATCCTCTAACGTAATCGTTGCTTCACCCCAAGGAAAGACAAAAGATTTGGTTTCAGGACACCATTTCTCAGTAACAGAGAGAAGCAAAGCCGTGTTTCTGGAGATATTGTAAGTAGATGCCTTGATTGCGTCAAAAATCCCAGCTTTTCTCCAAGTGGGTGCGTGTAAAGCTTCCATCTTTTCAACCCAAGATAAGAAAGGACCCTCTGCAAACCAAAACCCAGAGAAGGAAATCTGTGAAGAGAAGCGCTTTAGCTCCAAAGAAAAATCAGAAGAGGGACGTTGTTGGTAGTCACGACGAGGAAGCTCGGACACAGAGCCATCTTTGGTGGAGGTAACAAAAGGTTTTAAGAAATGGGTTTTTCTCAAGCAACGACCTTTCTTAGTAACCATGACTTCTTCTCTCTCTTCAATGAGAAGATTCTCAGCGGCTGATGAGGGAGATGCCTTATCCATCTCTATAGATGGTGATGATGGAGAAGAAGCAAAGCTAGGGATTTTGAAAGAAGAAAAAAAAAAAAAAAAAAAAAAACGAGGCTTTAAGAAGAAGGAAAAAGATGGCATTTTTGTTGAAGATGGACAGAGTAAAATGGTCGAGACTGAACGCAACAGTTTCCTTTTTATGGCAAAAAGCAAAGCAAGTCCCATTCTTTAATGAGTTCCTCCTTCACGTTAAATTAAAATGCTGACTGTACATTATCAAAAACAACATACAGTATTGTATGTGTGTATAGTTTTTCTTTTATTTTGGATCAAAACTATTTAAACTCAAATTTATTGGCGACGAATCAATTTACACGAATAGTTCGAGACAAATTTGATTTTTGTTCCCAACTCAAAATCAACATTCTCAAAGGTCATTTTGATGATAAGTATCCATGAAATAACTGATATTACCAATTTTTGAATATACAGTAGTTGAATTATGATTAGGTTTGGTTTTAGGGGATATCGAACACATACTTTTAATTAAATTTGAAAATCAATATACATGACGTGTTATTTAATGGGAAAATTAATTGTGTGTTTTTATAGATTCCTTTAAACTTTCACTGTTATTCATCAATTTATTAGTTTAAAATTTTTAAAAATGCTAGTGTTATTCAACATTAAAATGGTTTTAGTGACAATGTGATTTGATTAAAAACTCAATACAGTAGAAAACAAAGATATATTTAATGGAATTTGTCAAAAAAAAATTAAATATACATATTTTTTTTCTATTCATTGATTCTTTTAAATTCAGTAATTTTCTTATGTATTTTGGAAATATGATAGTAGACTATATACCATACGAATTAATTTCTAACTCAGATCATAAAGTTGACTTGGAAAGAGTCAAGACTAATAATGAAGATTTGAGGTTGAAATGTTTATAAACTCTAAACCGATAAAGGACAAAAAATTTAAAAGTAAGGATGTCAAGGTGGTTAAACCAAACAAATTAACCCATACCTATATAGATTTAGGGGGTGTATTTAGAATAGAATTTTAAGAGATTTGTGTAGAATTTATAAATCTTATTTTATTCAAACATGAATTTTAAAAAATCTCACGAAATTTAGTGTTATTGAATCTATTTTGAATACACCCGCGTAATGTTTAATGGATAATGAATTAACTTAACCCATTTAGCATATGGCTTGGATTAGAGAGTGATGTTAGATTTCAGCATACCAACGATCACAAGAATTGAGAAGTAGTGTAAGATATCAAATACATTTGTAATAGAATTTAAACTAAAATTATTACAGTAAAATAAAAATGCCCAAAAAAACAGAAAATTTAGATGTGCTTTAACCTAGTGAAAGTTCTCTCTCTAACCAAATAGATCGTGTTATCACTTAAAGGAAGTTTTATATTAGGTCACTGATACGTTAAGCATCTTAAAACTTCACTAAAACTAATAATATTCTCCAAATAAGAATTAGACAATAGTGAAAATCTAGATTATCATCTTCTTCGTACCGACCATCGCACCAGAGGGTTTGTAGGGAATACTAATTGGTTTATTTCAGTATTTGGTAATCAACATCATAGTAAGATATATAACTGCAGTTGTTGCTGAATCCTTCAATCAGATAGAATCACCGCCAAAACAGACATATATGACTTGCAACCTAATAAGCCTAATACCATCATCGGAAATTGGCATTTTTCTTGTTGTGATAATAGTGAAAATATAGATGAATATTTTCAAAGTTAGATTTCTGACTATTTCTTAATTAGTTCTTTCTTTTAATAAAGTAAATTATTCTAATAATTGATTAAATAAATTTCCTTATTTCTTTCTTTTCTCAAATATTGTTGTGTAATATATGTTCTTTTTAATGAATATAAAATTTATTCAACAAAATTTTTTGTACAATAAATTTAAACTTATGCTAATTTAAATGATTCAAAGAATAGAGTTTAAAAGAGTATAGTAACCTTCCTAATATATTTTTTAATATACTCAGCATCATTACTTTTAATATTTATGATCCAATAGATAATTTGGATAAATTTCATTATAATGTTCATTTTATCCAAGTTTTATGTTTATAAGAATTTTCTAATATTTTATTATTTTGGAATAGAATAATAGTGATACCTTTTCAACGTTATGGAAATTATGAAAAAGCTATCTAGTTTATAGTCATACAAATTTGCACACTAGCAACTAAGTTTATGATTAAACAACTGAAGAGAATTGAAGGCCTAGTACTTTCCCACAACTAATTTTCTTTATTAAACTTCTTCAAAAAATATTTTTGATTTTCATGGAGATATCTTTTTTTTGTGTGATCAAAATAGAGATATCCTTTATTGCTTTCTTTAATTGAACGCAAATTGATTAAGGGTCTGACTGGTTTAAACACAGCGGTTACGGTTGCGGTTTCTGGAGTTTGTTGAAGCGGACGGTTGCGGTTTCAAGCGTTATTATGCGTTGTGAGCGACTGGTTTAGCGTTTAAAAATGGGTGTGTTTGCGGGAATTTTATGACTGGTTGACCATCATAAGCAATAACGATTAAATAAAAACAAAAAAAATAAATATATATGTAATTAAAAATGTATAAATATCCCCAAATCTATATTATGGTAAAATATATTGAAAATGAATATTTTAATGATTAATAATTATTTAACTAATAAAAGCCTTATTACTTAATAAATATTTTAAGTACTTAATAATATATTGAAAAATGAATATGATTGATAAATAATAAAAAGCCTTATTACTTAATAATTATTGATAAATAATTATATTAAATCAAATAATTTTTTTAGTAGAATATATTTATGAAAAATATAAAAAAATTAAACATGATTAATAAGAATAAAACATAAATAACTACTATATATAAATTCTAAATAATTATTTAAGGGGCCGATTGGTTGTGACTTTTAAGGCTTTAAAATAATTTTAAAGTCTTAACAGCTATATTTTTGCCAATCAAGATTTTTTTACTTTTATTTTTTTTAAAGCCTTTAAAGCCACTTTATTTTTTTATAGTGAAAAACAAAAAATTAAAAATATTGGAAACATAAATTTAGAGAATGATTTTTGTTTGAGAATTAGTGTGAATATATTTAAGACTTGATAATATATATTTTTGTTTAGATAATTTCCTTTTTAAAACCAACCGCAACCGTAAACGCTGCGGGAAGGAATTTTTGAAATCCAGCGAGTTCGAGCGATCCAAAGCAGCGTAGAGGGTTTTCTGGTATTAATAATTAACAATCGCAAACGTCCGCTACTAGGGTGAAATCGGGTAAACCAAATGACACCTAAGTCACCTAAACTGAATTCTTATCGCTGAAGACAACCATAAATGAAACTATTAGAGACATCGCAACCAAAGAGGCTCGCATAGTATTGCTCGAATCATATTCACAGGCATGATATATTTTTCTCTCATTTTTTGCAATCTCAAAGATACCATGTATCTGATAGAGGTAATTGTTTAACAGTCACATTACGATTATCACGGGTACCCTTAATTATCTTATAAATGCCAACTTCCATAACCGAGCCAACTTTCATAATCAGTCTAATCTTATAATTGTTAATTTCCATAACCGATTTCATATGCAAAAAGTTAATACTTGTCTTATGCATCTTTGTTTCAAGTAAATTATTCTATGTGCTATAGAGGATCAATTTTGCTTTCTTTCGGTTTACTACATGACCAATTTTGTTTTCCTCTGGTTCATTACTAGTTTCATCTCCCATATAACTAATTGTGTTTTATCAAATGTGAGACATTTGTTGTTTTATCAAATGAATGTGGTGAAAAGTTTCAGATCAAATGGCATAACTAGCTGGTCAGAAACTGCATATTTGGTCTGGTTTTCCATTTTCTAATCTTAGCCAAGCTCTTCTCCAGCTTGATAATACGTGCCTCAAGCTTCACTTCTATCTCCTTTATTGCAACCTTTCTCTGGCTCAATCTTTTATCAACCTTTCTTCAGTCTCAACTTGACTGCCAAGTTTTTCAATGCATCTCTGCGCTTCTCTAGTTTTGTGGATCCAACACTCTGCTTCTTTCGTTTTATCATCAATCATAGTCTTCTTCTCTGCATTACTTCCAATTACATCATCACATCTTTGCCTTGTCTTTTCTGGTTGTTTTGCAGTTTCGTCATCCTCTTCACTCCTGTGTTCTAGTTTTCTCGAAGCATTATATTGACAAGGCTCCAAATCATCATCACTGTCCACCACCTGATATCTTCTACTTCTTTTTCGGAGTGATTCAGAAGCATCCCCTCCAGGTTTATCTGCATCACTATACTTCTTCCCACATTCGATGATTTGAGCAATGGTCATGTTAACATCTTCTTCATCCATAGAACTCTCATCACCATCTTCACAAGCTGTTTTCATGTGCACAGATTTGTAACTGCTTCTCTTGTTTGTCAAATCCCCACTGGTCTTGTTGTTGATCATCTTCAAACCTGAAGACACAAGACTGTTCACCAACGCACCTATCTTATATATCTATGCCAACCTGCGCATCCTAGATCTTCTACGTTTTACAGTAAAACCTTCTTGCAACTTCAGAACCATTTGACTCAAAGGCAATACCTTGAGAGCTACATCAATATCACCATCATCATATTTACCAAATGTATTCCTTGCATTAAAAGTTTCAGTTGACTCCTTCTGCATCTCTTCAGAACCTAAAAACTCTGAAACTGATTTCAGCCACCAGTCTTGGTATCTCACAGTAACAGAACTTTTAAAGAGACGAGAAGTCATGTAAAGCTTTAAACCATCAAGACACTTATTGTAATCATCCCATGCTGCATTTCCTGTAGGTTCGTTGCTCTGATGAGCAACCAAACCAGGGAGATCTTGCGCCAGCCCGAATTGCATTGCGACACGATTAGGATAATAATCCTCTAGAAAACCCATACCAACAAGCTTAGAACTCCTCACACATCGTGCAAAGCTTCCAACTTTTCAAGCCAAGAAATAAAAAGAGGCTGTGCAAACCTAACCCCAGAGAAGGATATCCGCGAAGATGAAACAGAGAGACGTTGACTACGACGGGGAAGCTCAAGCAAATGGGTTTTGCTCAAGCAACAAGCTTTATTAGAAGAAACCATGACTTCCTCTCTCTCTTCAATGAGAAGATTCTCATTCTCGGTGAGTGAAGATGGCAATGTGTTCTTCATCTCTCAAGACGATGAAGAAGCGAAGGATTCAGAAACAGCAAAACTTAGGGATTTTGAATGTCAAAGACGGAGACTTGGCGGATCAGTTACTATGAATGGACATAAAAAGATGACACCTTTTGTTCAAGAAACTGTACGGAACAGTTGCTTTTTATGGCATACGAGCAAGTTCCTTAATTAAATTAAAACGATGGTGTAGATAATGCGCTATTGTTTTCGATAGAATAACATATATGATCTTTTCCACTCATGAAATAAGGTACATGAAGATTTCGATTTAGATATATGTATGTGGTGATCTATGCCTTTTAAGGTTGATCCTTAGGTGACTAATGCTTTTATGTCTCTAAAACATATTAGCTTTCTTGTTTATAGATTTCACGTGGTGATATTAGACTGTTCCATTTACGCTCCATGTAACCAAAAGGAGGTTATATATTTGATATGCAACATGCCAAAAAGCTATTGGCTCATAACTGATCAGTTCAAAATATCCAGTTGAAATACATACATCAAGATAGTCTTCAAAAGATACAGTTGAAATACTTACATCAAGATAGTCTTCTTAAGATACAGTTGAAATACTTACATCAGGATAGTCTTCAGATAGTCTTCAAAAGATGCCGTTAAAATACTTACATCAAGATAGTCTTCAAAAGATAATGAAGTCAAAAGACCACACTGGTGCCATGAGCTTGGTCTTTATAGTCTACTTGCATGAAAATGAGCTGATGTTATTTTTCTCTGTTTTAAAGCTCTCTCTTCTATCAACGATGCCAAGTCTTTTTGTGCCTTAATAATACGCTCTTCTATCGATGCTGCCAACACCTTTAGCTTGTGGAATCTCTTGTCGTAGGACTCATTACCACCATTACCCTCACCTAAACCATCATTTCTCTTTTCAAAATCCTCATTGGATTTCATAGTTTCTTCACTTCTAAGGGCATTATCATGAAACAAACTGTTTTGTCCCTCCCTTCCATCCCCTACAACAATGTTAATGTTAGACTCATCAGGAGGATCTGAAGAAGACGTACCATCAAATGAGCTGAGAATCAAATTCTTCCCAGATTTGCTTCCAGTTTCATAAGCCTTTTCATCCCTTTGCTCTATTTCTGGTGGTGGTATAGTTTCATTATCACCAAAAGCAAGCTTCTCATAAATCCTTGAATCGCTGTCATCCTCCTCAAGTTTACTTCTTTTTCCAAAAGTATTTCCTCCAATTTTTTCTCCAGATTTAATGATACTCTGAGCAATAGTAATGTTATCATTAGACTTCACATCATCAGCACGATCTCGCTTGCATCTCTTGTTTCCCAAATGCTCAATTTTCTTCTTCCCTAACTCCTTCTGAAACAAACGACTAAGTGGCAGTTCTGTTGAAGCTGATTCATCACCATAACCATCACCAATCTTGTCCTCCTCTATCTTACACCTTCGATGCTTAGCTTTTATACGCATCCTACATCTTCTGAGATTTGCAGGAAACCCCATTCCCAGCTTCTGAAGCACTTGACTCAATGGAAGTACCTTATGAGATACATTATCATCATCATCATCAATTGTATTACTTAAATTAAAAGTTTCAGTTGAATCTGAGGAAATAAGAGACCCTGAAACTGATTTCAGCCACCAGTCTTGGTATCTCACAGTAACAGAAGTTGTAGAGAGACGAGAAGGCATGTACAACTTTAAACCATCAAGAGACTTGTTGTAATCATCCCATGCATCCTTTTTAGTGACGTTTCTGTGATAAGTAACCAAACCAGGAAGATCTTGAGCCAGCCCGAATTGCATTGCAACACGATTAGGATAGTAATCCTCTACAAAACCAATCCCAACAAGCTTAGAATTCCTCACACAACGAGCAAAGGAAACAAACTCCTCTTCAAGTTTGTCATCAACAGTCACCCACATATATTCTTCAACATAAAACCGAAGAGGATTCCAATTATTCAACGCTTTTGTATAAGGACGCCACTCAAAATCATCAAAAAACAGTCTCACATCCTTAGTTTTCTGTTGCAGACCATGCCACTGAGAAATCCTTGGCTCTCCTATAGGTATCTCTTTAGCTTCTGGTCTCAAGTTCTTGAATCTCTCCCATGTCCAAACTTGAACTAACTTAAACAGAGACTTGAAATAAAGTTTTTTAGTGGACTTATCTCTCGAAATTTCCCCCAAATCTTTGTATAGTATTGCTAGAACAGTAGGAGCAAGAGCAATCCTTTCACCTCTAGCTAAACGAACAGCAACTGGGAGATTCTTTCTAGAGACAGAACGACGAAACTTATCTGGAAAAACGAAAAGGGAAAGCCACAATGCAAGAAAAGCTTCATGCTCAAGTTGATCACCTCTACCTAAGAAGCTAGAAATCCATGATCCTTCACTCACACGGTTATTCGTATTTAGATTCTCTCGTCTAACTTTCTTCAGTTTCTCAACAGAATCTCTCATCTCCGAGCTTTCTAAAGGGGCAAAGATCGGAGATCCCAAAACAGAAAACCCTAAAAGCACCATTACATCCTCTAACGTAATCGTTGCTTCACCCCAAGGAAAGACAAAAGTTTTGGTTTCAGGACACCATTTCTTAGCAATGGAGAGAACCAAAGACGGGTTTTTACTGATATTGTAAGTGGATGCCTTGATTGCTTCATAAATCCGAGCTTTTCTCCAGGTAGGTGCGTGTAAAGCTTCCATTTTTTCAAGCCAAGATACGAAATGAGGCTCTGCAGACCAAAACCCAGTGAAGCAAACCCGAGAAGGCAAGCTCTTAAGCTCCGTAGGAGAAACAGAGAGACGCTGATCACCAAGAGGAAGCTCGACAACAGAGGCGCCATGGATGGAGGAAACAAAGGGTTTAAGGAAATGGGTTTTTCTAAAGCAACGGCCTTTCTCAGAGACCATGGCTTCTTCTCTCTCTTCAATGAGAAGATTCTCAATTTTAGTGGGTGATGATGACGATGATGATGGGTTCTTCATCTCTTGAAGACGTTGGAGAAGAAGAAGCAAAGTTAGGGATTTTGAAAGTTAAATAAACGGAGAATGTGAGAGAGTGTTGAAAGATGGATGGGCAGAACAAAGAGAGAATAAACAATAAACATTGGTTTGTGTCTTTTTTTTTTTAACTTTTTTTTTTAAGAATGAATATACAATCTTCGAGACTAGGTAAACACAATTTTGTTCTTCTAATAATAAAATTATGCAATGATGTTACTTTTCAGAGATGGCTATCAAATCATGTCAACATGAGTAATAATGCCCTATATTAGCTAGTTTTAGATCTTTACGTGCCCAGTGCATTTTGTGAGGTGATGACAAGCGTAATTTTATCTGTCAAACCCTCCTTAAATGGTGTAATTATATTAGGTTAATAAGGTGTATCCCATGATATCTACATGTTAATGATTTATGATTTGAATCGTTACTGGACACTGGTGGAACTGTGGCTGGGACAAATGCGTTTTTAGTATAACCTCATACCATTCATGAATTATACTTGTTTAATAAAATTTTCTTGTTACAAACTATTTGTACATAGAAATCATTTTTTGTTTTGTCATGTGTTAAGTAATCAATTCTAACTAGGATAGGATCCCCGCTACAGCGCGGGGGAATATTCTATCGATATGTTATATAATTTGTAATAAAAATAAAAATACACATAAACTATTATTAATGGTTACATTTATAAAATCTGCACATTTATAGTGTATGTTTTGATGGACTAATCTATAAAAGATTTCATTAATAAAAACAATATACATTCAGACTCACATCAAATTTTGGACGGACCAACTCGTGAAAGATTGTATATTACATTTGTAGAAAAATATACATTCGTAAAAACTAAAAACTCACAATATATTTTGAAGGGATTAACCCGTGAAAGATTGCTTTCATAAAGCCAATATGCATTTGTAATACAAAACATTAATTCACCGTGTATATTTTGAAGGACTAACCCGTAAAAGGTTGAATTAGGATCGGACCCGCGCTACAGCGCGGAAAAAAGTTGCTATTATTTTTTTCGTTTTACTGTAAATGGTATAAAAAAAATTGATTGTTAATGTTGTTGTTAGATGTTTTAGTGTTTTTTTTTGTTAAATGGTGCATGTAAAAAGTAGTTAGGTATTGAGGAAGTTTAACAAATATATTGTATTATATAGTACAATTTGACCATTTTTGTAATAGTTAAAGATTGAGGAAACTTAACAAATATATTGTATTATATAGTTTTGGTTTAAAATTAAAGCTTAATCCCTTGAACATGGCAATCATTATTGATCTGATTGTGACTTTGTGTTCCTTAAAATAGGTTTCGTATACTCACAAACAAATGACCTAAATATAAAATTTCTTATAACATATTTTAAGCATTTTGATCGTATATAAGAGATTACTTTTTGTACTATGTAAGAGATTACTTTTTTGATGGTATAGAAAGCATTTTCATATTCCGTAATAATTTCATTTTAAATGGTTTTATATATGAAGTTTAAATTTTTCTATAGTTTGCGCTTTAAAGGAATATGTAATATATTTCATTTGATTGAATTTTTATAAAAATTTTAATAGGAAAGTATAAGATTGATGATAAGGTTTGCTTCTTAACAAATGTGTTATGCTTTATTATCACATATTTATAAGGATTTTACAAATTGCAAAATTTATATTATAGTTACCTACAATTATGGAACGATACTCAACAGTTATAGAAACAATATAATTTTAAACATTTATTGCCCATAATGAAAGAGTAATGGTGATCCGCGCTACATCGTGGGGGAAAATTCTCATGGTTTCTTATTTTTTAAATAACATTATGTAGCGATTGAGTTGGTGTTGCAGGTAACGTTTTATGTAGATTTTGGAAAAGGGCATGTATTAAAAACAGTAAGAATTTGAAAAATATGAACAAATATATTGTATTATATAGAATTTAGACTTTAGATGTTTGTCGAAGAAAAGAAAAAAAATAGAGTAGAAATGCATTATTATATTAACACTACTATTGTTTAGATTTGAAATTGTGATTTCTAAGCTAACTGTTTTTTTTTAGTATATATGTTTTCTTTTGTGTTGTATTGTTTTGATTTCATAGTTTATAGCATGGGTATATATGATGTTGGTTACTATTTTTTTAGTTAATTTAATAATCGTTAATTGATTAATTGAGATTATCCATAAATCCATTACATGCCTTTCCTTTTATAACAAACAATAGCCCACCCGAATCAAACATAGGTAATATTTGTTTGTATATTTAATCCCTATATTAGTAAAAGAGAAGTACAAAAAGTGCTTCCGGGTCGGGTCAGTTTAAAAAAATTATCCGAAATTTGTAATTGTATCTTTTAAAGTTGGATAGATTAATGGGTTTCCAAAATTGTAATACATACACCAGATACTTTTCAAATCTAATTTTAGAATTGTATTATTTCCATAACTAATGATAGGATTTACTAATATTTCTCAAACTTATTTAATACAATCTATTTTAAAAATATTATTCTTCTCTCACTTTTATTTGATATTATTTTTAATTTATGATATTATACTATATAATATAAATATTTAATAAAAATTTAACTTTTTTTGCATATGTTGCAATTTGAATTTTTCAAAACGGACATATAATACTCAACTACACTCGGTTAAATATTTTGGACAATTGTTTAAAATCATTATAATTATGACCAATATTAAAACCATTGTTACATGAGCATATTTAATATTTCAAATAGTTTCAAAATATCATAAGTAAAAGGTTCAAATATATAAAAATTTTAGAATTTAAAATATTGAGATATTTTTTATAAGACATAAACGTAATTTTGGAGGCATAATTTTTATTGATATAATATATTATATATCAAACTATGTAAATTTTAGATAGTTCACGGGTAGTTTGTTAAAACCAAAATTATAATGATAAAGCGAATTACGAATAATGTTTTTTACCAAATGAATTATGATACGGGTTGGACCTTCAAAAAATATATTGTAAATATGTAATTTTTTACGTATATTCCTACTTTTACTACAAAATGGTCAAAATAAATAATTTATCGACAAATATTATTTCGTGCTGTTAAATTTTCACCGTGTTCTTAATTGTATCAAAACTCAGTATATAATTATTTACTCGCTTTTTACTTTATTATTTTATTTAAACTTATTATACAAATATATAACTTACCGTAACTGACTGCACTGTAACAAAATTAAAATGTAACATATTCTGATCCGTTAAAAGTTATATATATATGTAATTATTTCCTCCGCGCTATAGCGCGGGTCCGAACCTAGTTTTTATCTATTATTTTAAAAAACATATAGGTTACAAAAAAAAACATTCAAACGTAAGTTGTCTCACCCCACCTGCAATTTTATCTCTTTTTGTTTTCTTTTTTTTTTGTCTATTACCATAAAAAATTAATGTCTGCAATATTTTAATCTTCCAGATCAGTTTTTTCGTTTATGATTCTCTATTTTTACAGAATAAGAAAGTCAGATGAAAGAAATTAACGATATCGGTTTGTTTTATGTTGATGGTGATGAAGTGAACGAAGTATCGTTTACATTTCCGAAATTGATTCAATGGAGCATGTAAGGTACTTTTAGATCTTATTTTAGATCTTTTAGAATTTATTTTGCTGCTTTTTTTTACTGTTGCATGAATCTTGGAACCCTGCGAATAGTGAGCAAAAGTTAGTTCGTGACACAATAGTCATGAAAATACAAAAGTAAATGCAGCATATATATATAACCTACAGATGAATCAACTAAAATCATGTCAATAATCATGTGTCAATGGTTTCTACGGCGTAAACTTTGTATTGCCTCCAAGAATGATTAATCTTCACTTGTACTCGCCAACTGGTCTTGAAGGACTCGAATGAAGCTAAATCTGTAAATGGAGGAATTGGTTGCCATCTTAGAGGAATGTATAACTACTGCCGAAGAATGAAGAAGAGGTATAGTATTTTTTGGACTTAAGAATCTAGGTTAGTGTGTCTTAGTTTATTCCTCGAATATTCCATTTCTATTATTCATAATATTAGATTGCACACAATTAGGGAAGATGTCCGAGATATTAGCTTGAAAATCATGCCTTCTTAGAAATCCTTTAGTTTCGACTATATCCCATATATATACTTCCATATTTGCAAACTTATTTAATTTTTAAATAACATTAATGCTACGCTAAAACCGCCGGATGTATCCACTAATTTTGGTTTGATCCATTTGCTAACTATCCAAATAAGAAATCCGGGTTTAATTTTTGTTTTAACCCGACCCGGAAGTACAAATGTACTCCTCTTTTACTAATATAGAGATTTGGTTTATCGCAAAATCGTTGGTCGTCTTGAAAATAGAACGGTGTAAGCTATAGCTATATGTAGTTTAGTTTGCTTGTTTGTTGAGGCACGATTTCATTCAAAATCTTTAGTTTTCTTGATTTATATTCGCTTGGAAACAATTTGAATATTTGGCATTTAAAGATTATTCATGGATAAAAAATAAAATTCATAGAAGAGGAATTCAATTTTTGATATAGAAGATGAATTCAAATTTACTCCTCATTTTATTTTTCTATGTTGGGGCATCAGTGAAAGCTAAAGAGTGAAAGTCCAGTTTACAAAACGAGGTTACAGTCCATATATCTCTATTTCTTCTTAAGGCGTCAGCTTCAACTTCTATGGGCTATGACTATGAGTAGGAGTAATTTGCTTTCTTTGTCACCAAGTGTCCACCATCCGATACCGTGCGGGTGAAATAAGGGTGAATAATTTACTCAAAATCTTTAGTTTAAATTCAAAGTTTAATGTTTCATGTAAAAAAAAATTCAAAGTTTAATGTAATCTAAGTCATTAGACCCAGCTATTTGCTTCTTTTTTTTTTCAATAGAAAAATGCTAACTTTATCTTATGTTATAGTGTGCTTTATTAGTTTAATTAACGTAATTATAAAAAAAGAGAAGACGAGAATAATAGAAACAAGGGTTTAAGGCTGGGTAATAATAAGCTCACACACTCTGCGTCTTCAAGCGATGGCCACAATCTAGCTTTCCTTCTCAGGCAGAGAGAGACCCACTTGCTTGAATCAAAGCAAGCTCTGTGCGATAACGACAAAATTCGCCACCATAAACCCTAAGTATATATTTTTGTCTCCGACGAGAGAGCTGCTTCTCTTTCAAGCTGGGTCGATTAACTTCTCTTATGGCCATGGGGGTTTCTCTTACCTCCCACCATAACCCTCTTCTTCGCCACTTATCTCCTTCCTCTTCCTGCCTTTCTCGTTCCTCTCGCTTCTCTTCTTCTGTCCCTTCCTTCCTCTTCCCTTGCCGTCGAACCCTTCAAAGGTCTGCACTTTCTTTTTGTTTAATTCCTATGTCAAGTTTTAGTAAATGGGTTCGTCGAGACTACTACACTTGATTACTCTGTTTCTAGGCTCAGTTTTGTTACTTGATTATTGACTAATTTGTTCTGCTCTATGTTCAATTTTACATGATTATCGAGTAATTTTGCTCTGTTCTAAGCTCCCTGTTGTAAGCTCATTTTTGTTTTTGAGTATCGGGGTTTAACCTGCTTTCTACTAGGCTCTGTTTGTTCTTGTGGGATTGGTTGGTTTTGTTTAGCAAGCTCTGATTGTGACTGCTTATGAATTTCTTCAGGACAGTAGTAGCTTCCGCAGAGGGAAATGTCGGTTATTCGACTACTACAGTTTGTCAGGGGTTTCAACATCCGGGTCATCAACGGTCATCTTCTGTTGTGTTTAATGGAGAGTGGGAACTCCGATCCGAATCTAACAAGGTAAGAATGGTTCCAAAGATTGTCAAGGTGGCTAACCAGTCGGAAGTAGCTGATACTCTTCAAGTTCCTGGGAATGTTAGTGCTTGGAGAGAAGAAGCGAGGAAGGTTAGAGAAAGAAACGGTCAAATTGCTGGAAACCTCGAGGGCAGTGCTTATTTCAATGGCTCTGTCCCAGTTTTATCTAATGCTCCCACTTATGAAACCTCTCAGAGTATTGATTATGGTTTCGATCCCAGAGGTAACAGTACTGCTACACTCAATACAAAATCGATTGGCATTAGGCCATCCGGACCTGTTGTGACATTGCCAAGCAAGAGTTTAGAGGTTGGGGCAAATATTGGTGTAAATCCTAAAGGAGAGGAAAATCAGAGACCTCATATAAGCGGGAAGTCTTCTGGTACCACAATCAGCTGTGAGAATAGGAATACCATTTCCAAAGTAGAGAAAAGCAGTGAACCTTCAAAAGTCCGTACAAATCTAAGGAAAATTTATGACAAGGTTCTTGTTGTTGATAATGTTCCCACTGCGAAGAATACAGTGGCTAAGCTTGTGAATCAGTATAGGAATCTTGTCCACTGTTGCGATACAGAGGTGCGCTTCATTTTTCTATTTAAGTTGTCATCCTTACAGCTCAGAAATGTTTAAGACAATTGATAAACTGATTTTTCTTACACAGCTTCGTTCTTTTTGATTATTCAATGCTTATAGGTGTCCGGGATTGAGGTGAAGGAAGAAACGCCTGTCAACCATGGTGAACTAATATGTTTCAGTATCTACTGTGGGCCAGAAGCAGATTTTGGTAATGGAAAATCGTGCATCTGGGTTGATGTTCTTGGTGAAAATGGCAGAGAGGTGTTGGCGGAGTTTAAACCGTATTTTGAAGACTCGTTCATCAGAAAAGTACGTTTTCAAATCTTTCCTTTTCTTAATGTGAACTACATCTTGATATTTTCTTCATGTTCTGTGACATTTCCATTTCTGTGTCGTTCTTAATCTTATTCCACTTTCTTGTTGTTTTCTTTATCGTGGACACTTTTTAGCTATCCTTAATGAAATCCTCATAGGTTGGCTTTCATCGTTTCAGGTCTGGCACAACTACAGTTTCGATAGCCACATCATTAAAAATCATGGAATTGAAATTTCTGGTTTTCATGCCGACACTATGCACATGGCACGATTATGGGATTCTGCACGACAGACAAAGGGTGGTTATTCACTTGAAGCGCTTACAAGTGACCCAGAAGTTCTTGGGGCCACACAGACGAAAGAGGAAGCAGAGTTCCTTGGTAAAATTTCGATGAAGACTATTTTTGGCAAGAGAAAACTGAAAAAAGATGGATCGGAAGGGAAGATTGTCGTCATTCCCCCTGTTGAAGAGCTTCAGCGAGAAGATCGAGAGGCCTGGATTTCATACTCTGCCTTGGATGCGATAAGCACGCAAAAACTTTATGAAAGCATGTCAAAGAAACTGCAACTGAAGGAATGGCGTCTTGATGGAAAGCCAATATCGGGGAGGACGATGTTAGACTTTTACCATGAGTTTTGGCGACCCTTTGGTGAACTTCTTGTTAATATGGAAGCAGAAGGGATACTTGTAGATAGGGAGTATCTTGCTGAAATAGAGAAAGTAGCCAAAGCCGAGCAGCAAGTTGCTGTTAGTAGATTTCGGAATTGGGCCTCTAAGTACTGCCCTGACGCAAAGCATATGAATGTTGGTAGCGACACACAGTTGCGTCAGCTCTTTTTTGGTGGCATTTCTAACAGGTATCTTTCTCCTACTTTTTTTGTGACATTTCTAGCACGTGTGGTTTCTTAGTTAAACTGAAGTTAGTATTAGGGAAAATAATCATATCTCTTGGTATATAGAGGTTCTTTCTTAATGACAGATTTGGGCTTATAACCTTCTTATCTCAAACCAAAACTGCATACAATAGGTCACGTCTTCCCATAAAGTCACTAACAAGAATTACACGATTAGTTTCCCAGTGCTTAGCTTTATAAATTTTAAGTTCTGTTTATTTCTTTCACAGTGAGGATAGTGAGGTTCTTCCAGTTGAAAAAAAATTCAAAGTTCCCAATGTTGATAAGATTATTGAAGAAGGAAAAAAAACAGCGACAAAGTTCCGAAATATCAAACTGCATAGAATTAGCGATAACCCACTGTCAACTGAAACATTCACTGCTAGTGGCTGGCCTTCTATCAGTGGGGATGCTTTGAAAGCCTTAGCTGGGAAAGTTTCTGCTAAATATGACTTTATGGAGGACATCTCTGATATTTCTTTAGAAGACATTGCTGAGGATAATGAGCCTGCTGCTACTCAGCTACTAGATCAAACTTCAGATATACAAAAGTCAAAGATCGATGTTGAAACCGACACATCTGCTTATGGAACAGCATATGTTGGATTTGGAGGTGGTGAAAGGGGAAAGGAAGCATGTCATGCTATTGCCTCACTATGCGAAGTTTGTTCTATAGATTCTTTGATCTCAAATTTTATTCTTCCATTACAGGTATTGTTTTTTTTCACCTTAGCTGCTAATCCCTTCCCCTTCCGGTTGATGTTTATGGAATTGTTTTCTTTTTGGCAGGGAAGTAATGTATCAGGCAAAGATGGTCGCGTCCATTGCTCCCTAAATATCAATACAGAAACTGGGCGTTTGTCAGCTAGAAGGCCAAATTTGCAGGTATGAATTGAGAAGTTTATTGATATTGTTTAAATCGGTATCACCTGAACCTAATATGATGGATTAATCCGAGTTGTGGGTCTTTATGTAGCTAAGCTTCAATTGTTTTATACTGTTACATGTTGAAAATATGCTGACAGTGAAATAGTTTGGTATGAAATTATGTGTTGTGTTACCAAGAGCTAGTACAGTAACTCATTTGAAATGGTCAAGTTTTTTTTTTTTTTTTCAATCGTAAGTATGCTACTTATGCTCTTGTAATTGCATTTTACGATGTCTTACTAAAGTTCTCCTTATCTGTCTAGAACCAACCTGCTCTGGAGAAGGATCGGTACAAGATTCGTAAGGCCTTTGTAGCGTCACCTGGAAATACACTCATTGTGGCTGATTATGGGCAGGTGAAGATACAATACTGTGGTAGTTGTAGAAATTTTTGTAAGGGTACTATACTGGTTCACTCGTTGAATGTGATTCTTTTTTATCCTCAGCTGGAACTTCGAATTCTGGCACATCTTGCTGGTTGTAAAAGCATGATGGAAGCTTTCAAAGCAGGCGGAGATTTCCACTCAAGGACAGCCATGAATATGTATCCGCATATTCGTAAAGCTGTAGAAAATGGCCAAGTTATCCTTGAATGGCATCCACAACCTGGGGAAGACAAGCCACCTGTGCCATTGTTAAAGGTGCGTTCTTGTTTAAAATAGTACTGGGATTTTAAAAGAGCCATAGATCCTGGATTTTGATTGTTATCTGACAATTATGAAGTGGTTTGAATAGCTAAGAAAATAGTTGACATCTCTGCACAATGTATAGTGCCCATCGTTGACACAAAGAACTTGAAATCTGTGCCCAGATTCTTTTAACAGTTTGCAAATATGTTTATACTCAGGACGCCTTTGGGTCAGAGAGAAGAAAAGCGAAGATGCTTAATTTTTCAATTGCATATGGGAAGACTGCGATTGGGCTTTCTAAAGATTGGAAGGTAATACAAAATTACTCTTGAATCTGTGTGGTTGATATAAACATGCTTTCATGTGTGATGAATCTGCGACCACGCCTTTTTTTTTTTTACCATCTAAAGGTCTCAAAAGAAGAAGCTCAAGACACAGTCAATCTCTGGTACAATGACAGACAAGAAGTAAGGGAATGGCAAGAAAAACGTAAGAAAGAAGCTATGGAAGTTGGGTATGTACGCACTTTATTAGGAAGAGATCGTAGATTCCCGACATATCGGTTACGTGCTCACAGAAATCGTATCCAAAGAGCAGCGATCAACACCCCAGTGCAGGTTTCCATTTTGTTCTCTTATTTTATCATTTACTATTCGTCAATCTGAACTTTAAGCATCGTTCATCTGCATCACAGGGAAGTGCAGCTGATGTTGCCATGTGTGCAATGTTGGAAATATCGAAAAATCAACAGTTGAAGAAGCTTGGTTGGAGATTGCTTTTACAGGTAAACAACACTCTTCAATCTTACCATAACTTTATATTCTAAATTAATCATTTGTAAAAAAAAAACCTTTTGGGCTATACTTGCTTGAAACTTGAGTGATAAGACTTCTGTTGGGAAACAGATTCATGATGAAGTAATCTTGGAAGGACCAATGGAATCAGCTGATATCGCCAAGGACATAGTTGTGGACTGTATGGCTAAACCGTTTAACGGAAAGAACATTCTCTCAGTCGATTTACCTGTAGATGCAAAATGTGCTCGGAACTGGTATTCTGCCAAATAAGAGCCAAGGGAGCGAGCAGTCCAAGGAGAGAGAAGAGTTCAAGGAAGACCATTTTTGGGTACATATATTAAGGTTTGGTATGTTGGCTTTTCGTTTTGTTAGTGTGTTAGGACGCGTTCAGTGTTGGCCTATGTAAATTGCTTTCTTTACTACTAATTATCTAACTTAACGATGTTTGCAATACTGATTTAAGTGACCGTAGAAATATCATGAACTACAAAATCTCTCTCAAGTCTTTACCAATGGTATGGTATGTCTGTCCGATTAAGTTTCTATCTAAGCAAATAATCATAATCAAAGCCGAACAGAAAAAGAAAATTATATGAATCGGTTGAAGCTGCATATTGTAAGTTGTGGGAATATTCAATAGTCAATTCCAAAAACATTAATCGTTGTCTCCTTAACGGGAGTGAACGTCTCTGCCATATCCGTGGTGCCTTGCACAAGAAGTTTGGATCGCAGCCGGTGACATCATACTTGTTGGGCTGAGGGACTACCAAGATGACAAAGTTGATGTAATCTTAATCTTTTTCTTTTTCTCTGTTTTGAATCGTAATCTTTGAAGTTTGTGTCCCAAGTTTTAACATAGTTCATCCTTTCTCGACCCGTCATCGTCTAATCGTAATCTTGCGAGGTTTTTGAGCTTTAGAGAGGTTTAGTTCTAGCGTGTCTTGTTATTAAGTGTGAGAAGAATAAAGTATAACATATCTCGCATTTAAGCATATGTTTTAGAGCTTAATATGAAGTTTCTATGATTCATTTACAAAACAGAATATTCCGTTCATGTGTAAGACGAATAAAAGAGCTGTGAATATACACCTAATTAAGAGTGTTGTGAATATATAAGAAAGAAAGAAAAAAGAAAAAAACCCTCACAAAAAGAAGAAGGCGAAGCACTAAACTGACATAACATGAAAAATCAAGAAGGAGAGAAGACATACCACAAGCCACCATGTTTTGATGAGAAGAACTTTTGACTAGCTTTTCTAATTACTTAGCAGATTTTTTGTTCTATGATTTGAGAGATGATTCCTAAAACCAGTGATGGTGAAAAAATAAATAAACCAAAAAAAGCAAAATGTCACTAATTTTATACGTATCATCCAAATTGAACGTATGATATCTACGGTGTATTACAGCTGGATGTCAAAAACCAATAATATAAACCTCATATGTTTTTTTTTAAGATTTAGTTAAACTAATAAACAATAATTATAATTGTATTTGGAAAATAAATTTACAATATTACACGTACGTACGTAGTAATATTGTTGGATCTAAAAAAACCAATAGTATAATTTATTTTCTAAATACTATATTGTAGGACATGCATGTACTAGCTAGCTCAACATGTATATATGAAATATTCCTTTTTAGTTTACTTGGTATACACCTTTTTGGCAAAGTTACAAGATATTTATTTGGGACTCGTTTCAAATTATATACAGTAACTAAGTTTGAGTCATTCGTTAGTGGTCAAGATGTCCATTGGTCTCATTATCAAATTGGTATACCGTGTACTAATTAACCTTTAAAATTTGGCTTCCTAAATTACTCTTATTTTTTGAAAATACTGACTTGACAAGAAAAACTAAAATACTTTTTATTTTGTTCTTTTAGAAATCTAGCTTGGAAAAGAGGTTACCACCACAAGGTCCACAACTTGATAGCACTAACAAGAAAAGTGAAGAATCAAGAAGGAAAAATAATAAAATTTAGTTGCAAGAAAATTAAATAGATTAATCTGTTGCCATTTTTACTAGTGTCTTAGTTCTGATCAAAAGTCTACATTATTTCGTTTGATAATACATTTATGATTCTAATCTAGATAGTTGGATCAGTTCTATTAATTAACATGGTAAAATATTGAATTTAATTGTGTATAGAGAAATGAAGTTAAACAAATGCAGAACCAACCACATATATAAGTATATAACCATCAGTGTCTCGCTGGACTTATTAGATACAGTAGTTGAAGAAAAAAGTTAAAAATTAATATATCTGTATATCACTCGTCATCAAGTTCTTAAAGAGACACGGATCAATATCTTAATTAAGTATTTATAAGAGAGCTTCAATGGAGATGTAAGAGTTAACCTATATCATAATATCACTCCACCATCGCCTTCATGACTCCTTTCATATTCTCGGCAAGCTCCTCCCATTTCTTTAACTTATCATCGAGCTTCTTCTTGACCTCTTCTGTGACCTTCTTCTTGATCTCTGGAATGACCTCCTTCGAAATGTCATCTTCCAGTTGCCTCATTTCACCTTCCATCTGCGTCCATTGACGTTCCAGCTCATCTAAACGAGTATCTTCAACATTAGCCATTGATGTTTCAAAAAAAAAAAAATTATTTAAAAAAATGATTATAATTTCTTTTAAGTGGAATATTCTGAAAGAGTACTTCTAAACCTGTTTATTTATAGCTGAAAACAAGAAGTGAAAATGTTTAGTGGAGTCATTATTAACTCTCACTTCTTTAACTTATTCATCTACTAAAAGAAAAAGAAAAATTAACAAGCAACTTCATTCATCCCATCGATTACAAAGACAGATTCCACTATCTTAATCGGTTTGATATGTATTAATGTAAAATAATATCAATGTGGACATTGTTTTTTTTTTTTTTTATCAAAAAATGTGGACATTGTTATACACCCTTATTTCTTTGAATGTAAAATAATGCAAATCGATGTTATTTCGTTTGAGTCCATTTATTAACAGCGCTTATCTTATGATCCTTTGTCAAGACTTAATTACATGTAAAAAGATAAAGAAAACTTATTGTTACTACTGTATATATACATCAAAATGTGTACTAAATACGATCTTTATGTTTGATTGTTTTTTGTTCTAAAACCAAAATTTCTAAATTAATGATCATGTGATGATTGACGACTACGCTGAGTTGTATGTTTTTTCATTCCTTAAATCCAATGTAGCATTTTAGTGTTCATAAACGTCTCCTATTCACTATATACAAATCTATTTTTAGTTAATACAAATATATATACTCCATAGTGAAATTAATGCAATATGTGTTTATGTGTTCACCTTATGAACCTATATTTTCTTCCAAGATCAAGGCTTATGCCAACATAATACATTTTTTTATACGTATAAAAGAAAAAGATTCAAAAATCATAAAAGGATATGACCATAGTCTCGTTGAGTTATAAAGAAGAAGAAGAAGAGGAAAAAGAACAAAATGAAACAAATGGCTATATATATCATTGTAATTTATAAAATTCATCAGAGTTAGAGAGACAGCAAACATTTAATCATGCATTTACAAGAAAGTCTCATTGGACTTAAGTCTATATATAGTTTGATAGAAGCACACACACTTACGTAAAATCCAATTCTCAAATCTTTGTTTTTGTTAACATTCGTTCTTGAACATTTAACACGCTTTTTTAAAGCACGTTGGAAGAATTATTTTGCTCAACTTTATTTAATTTGTTTTAGGTGTGGCTTTAAGGGCTGAGGTTTCAGCCACCAGACAGGTAAACAACACTCCTCAATCTTACCATAACTTTATATTCTAAACTAATCATTTGTGATTATATTCAAAAAAGGAAAAATAAAATAAAATATAACTTGTGATTTTCTAGATGAAAAAAAAAAGAAAAAATATATTACTTGAGTTATTTTACTTTGGGCTTCATTAGAAATCCTTAAAATCTGTTTTAAACTTTTATTTTGTTTTATTTATTAAGCGTTTACAATGCCAATTTGCTAATAGCCGCCCCAAAGATATAAATAGAGGAACGATAGTAAACTAGGGTTACGTTTTCCACAACAAAAAGAAAAAATAAAAAAATAATATGGAGGAACCAAAAGACAAGCTCGAAACTATCCAAAGAAAGAGAAACAAAAGAACAAAATCTTCATCGTCGTCGTCGTCGTCAATATCATTACCATCCTTACCTCTCGACCTAATTTCGGACATATTCTTAAGGCTGCCAACGAAATCTGTTGTGAGGCTTGGTTGTGTTTCGAAGCTTTGGTCAACACTCACCATCGATCCATATCTCACCACACCGGTTGAAACTCGACCAAATCTTCTACTCTTCTTCAAAGTTGGTGTCAGGTTCTTTGTTTTCTCGCTCTATCAACACAATAGGAACCCTAACTCTTTTTACTACTCCTCTTCTCAACCTATCAGTGATTTTTACCATATCACCTGTCCAAAATATTGTTCCTTCACCATAAAACACGAGTCAGTCCATGGCTTGATCTCCTTACAAAGAGGAGCAACTCCTATAGTCTGGAACCCTACTAAGAGAGAGTTTACAACTTTAACCAAACCTAACGAGAGCTGGAAGAATATAACAGTCTTTTTAGGGTATGATCCTATCGAAGGTAAACACAAAGTAGTGTGCATGCCGTATTATTATAACCAAGAATACGACGAGTGTAGGGTTTTAACATTGGGATCAGCTCAAGAACAATGGAGGACGGTCAAAACCAACTACAAGCACAGACATTTGATTGGTTCTCGCACAGGAGATTATGGAAACAGCACATGCATCAATGGTGTTATATATTATCGAGCTACAATTGGTCGTGATTGGGTTATAATGAGGTTCGACGTAAGGTCTGAAAAGTTTGACGATGCAATGAAATTACCAAGGGATGACATTTATAATTATTGGCCTGTGGTGATGGTATCTAATCAAGGAAGGTTACTATGTGTTAGTGCTGGTACCGCTCGTGATAGTGTTTCAGTGTGGGTTTTGAAGGATGCAGAAAAAATCGAATGGGTGAATCATATCTTTTTACCTCTCAAACACTATGGTCGGGGTTTGAAAGACAAGTTCAGACTAATAGGCGTCACTGGTGATGGTGAATTCATTTACGTACCAACGACGGCGCTCCAGTCTGATCTTGACATCATTTATATCAATCCAATGACAAAGACGTTTCGAAGGGTCGAGTACAATGGTATTGCAGATTATGCTTTTCGACACCGCTATGGTCTTGGTGTGAGACCTTTGCGTGGGATCCAATATTTCCCCAACCACGTTGAACCCTTCACGTCTTGAATCTTGATTAATTCTTTTTCTTTTCTTTTTTGTTTCCTAATTTGTTTAATTTTGCAGTGACGAACACTTTCTTTTATGATTTTTTTTTTAAATGTCTTTAACATTTAAGTTGTCTTTAATTAACTTTATTTCATATGCTTAGGATTCTATATCCAGTTGTTATAATTTATAATAATTATTAAAAAAGATCGTGATGTTACAAAAAAAATACAAACATATATGAATGCTAATCTTTTTTGTCATTATCGTAATATTTATAAACATATATGAAAGCATATTATTATTATTATTATCCTCCGGAGATTTCTGATATATTCGGAACGATAATGACAAAAGATTAGCATGATTAACAATAGAATACCGAAATGTATTATGGAAATATAACTTTTTACTTTTGAAAAATTAAGAAAAAAAAAAAGGAGAGTAAATCACAGCTTTGTTAGGGTTCCCATATATATAAGAGAACGAAGTAATCAATGGTTTGAAGCAAAAGATGGAGCAATCACGAGAAGAGAAAAAGAGATCAAGACAATCGTGGTCATCAATGCCTCTGGATGTAACCTCGAAGATACTGTCAAAGCTGCCAGCAAAATCAGTTGCAAGATCTCGTTGCGTTTCGAAGCAATGGTCATCGATCAGCACAGATCCATATTTCATCAGCAACATGTTCCCAAAGCAGTCTTCGTCGAGTCTTCTACTCTTCTTCAAAAGCAAAGGGAAGCTCTTTGTATTCACCATCAAGAACCCTAACGAGCCTGACCCGCAAGTTGATAGTTACCAAATGAAATACCCTAAAAACTGTCGCTCCTCCTTCACCGAATCTGTCCACGGCCTCATCTGTTTCCCGAGGGTAGATAGACCCATCATTTGGAACCCTACCTTGAGAAAGTTGTCAACCTTGCCCAAACCCAAAACCACCTGGAAGGGTATAGCAGTCTTTCTAGGATACGATCCCGTCGCGTGTGAACACAAAGTAGTGTCCGTGCTTCGTGATAAAGCGTCTGATGAGTGTCGGATTCTTACATTAACAGGATCATCAGCTACAAGAAAATGGAGAAGCATCAAGATCAACCGTAATAAGCATCGTCCTTTTAGTAACATGTTAAGTTGTAATGATGGGCGATGCATCAACGGTGTTATATATTACAAAGGCAAACTTGACCAATCCAATGTTGATGTTATAATGAGTTTTGATGTCAGGTCTGAAAAGTTCCATGATGATGTGATACCAACGCCATGGAGTAATCTATGGTGGGGTAAGCTAATACCTTACAAGGGTAAGTTAGCTTGTTTTGGTCATACCGCGAACAATATGGTTATCACACTTTGGGTTTTGGAGGATAATGCTAAGTGGTTGTGCAAACATTTTACTGCACCACCTTTGAAATCCTGCGGAATCAATGGTATCACTGATGATGGTGACTTTGTTTATGTACCATACGGTGTCCAAATATCGTTTTATATTGGATATTATGATCCAGAGAGAAAGAGCTTTAGAAAAGTCGATTTCAAAGGAGTCGCGGATGCTGACTTTAGACTCCGTAATGGACTTGGAAACGGACGTCTACATCCGTTCCATACTTGCCTCAACAACATTGAGAATCTCTTGTCTTTGTAACTATACATTTGAGTGTTTTTTTTTTCCAATGGAACTTTATAGTTTGACTATATTTTGTTTTTGTGGAATAGTTTATCGTTCCTTGCATAGAATTAATTTCTATCTCCGTACCAAAAGTTCTTTTGTGATTTAGTAGTAAGCGATATTGCAAAGCCTAAAATGCAGTAAGGATCGCATCACCATTAGTGTATACTTTGTTTAAACTCTTTGGTTTTAAGATCTTTGCTTGGCAGAGATGTGCTTTTCACGGATATCTAAGCATCTTTGATTTTTTTCTTCATAAATCTTAAAATTCATGTACTATATCTTTATCATTACCGCTACAGTTAAAAATAACACAAAAGACAATGTTAGTATATTTATTTACCATAATATTAACAATTTTAAGAGATATTCATCCATAATTGTTAAAGCGAATAAATTATTGATATAAAAAAATATTTGGAATTAAAGATTTTGATTTTCAAGATTAATTTCCAGAAATACTTAAAGATAGCATATATATATCACACAAGAAGGAGAATAATAGAATATTTACAAAAAGACATTGTTAAATATTAAGAAGAAGAAAATGGTTTCTTCTCACAAATGCATCTTCCTTACTTTTCTATGCATTGCCCTTGTTTTGAGTCAAGGTAATATCACTATTCACTGTTACGTTCCACATTCTTATTTATGCAACATGTTACTAATCAATTGTAGTTTAGGGTGTAATTGGTTTTAATATAATTTTTTGTTTCTACTTTTTTAACTTTTCAAGGTCTTGCGGAAAAGGAGATATATGCTACTAGAGAAGAAATTTCTCCTATGACAATAATACCTATCGGTTCATGTGGAGAAATCAAAGATTGCAACCAAAAATGCATCGAACTTAAGTATCGAAACGGAGGATCATGCATAAATTCTACGTCAAATTCTATTTGCATTTGTATAGTTTGAATCTTAACATGCTATATATATGATTATTGATTACTACCATCCAATCACAAGAATAATTAACCTTAATAGCATTTATGTGAGTTCTTTTTAACAAAATATAACCATACGCAAATAAATTCACTCGTGCTCGTTGTGGTAAATCTTTTGATGAGTGTCGAGTTCTAACGTTGGGATCAGCTACATGGAGAATCATCAAGATAAGCAATAATCATCTTCCTTATAGTGACAATGGTGGGAGATGCACCAACGGTGTTCTTTAATTATTACAAAAGCCAGCCTTGATCAATCCAATGTTGACATTATAATGAGTTTTGATGTCAGGTCTGAAAAGTTCCATGTGACAGAATTCTGTGTTGTGCTAAGCTAATACCTTATGAGGGTAAGTTAGTTTGTGTCAATTATAAAAAGTACAATAAGGACATCACATTGTGGGTTTTGGAGGATGCTGCAAAACAGAAATGGTTGTGCAAACACTTTACTGATATATCTTATAAGCTTCTGAAACAAATTTGGGGAAGACATGGTATCACCCATGATGGTAAAGTTTATTTGTTTACCATTCCTTTTCATATTTTATATCATGATCCGAAGCTGAAGAGCTACCGACAAGTCGAATTTAAAGGAGTCTTAGATGCTGACTTTATGCTCACTAGTGGACTTGGAAACACACATCTACATCCGCTCCATACTTGCCTCAACATTGAGAGTCTCTTTGCGTTTTTAACAATATACTGTGTTATGCATTTTTTGAAGTTTAAGATTATATCAGTATTATTGATTCAGATGTATAGTAGCTTTCATTGACTCAAAAAGTATCATATATTCAATGTTCTTTTTTTTAGTGATTCACAAGTGTAAGAAAAATCATATATCTGTACAATGAAATGTCTTCCAAACATTCTACGGGTCAAAATGTTGGAGCTCGATAGTCCAATTAGATGCTAACTGGACCAGAAGATGGTCGGGAGCTAGACCTTCCCAGTCTTCTGGAGGATCTGTTGTTGACGAAGCTTCATGTAGATTCAACAAAAGCTCCTTCTTTAACTCCAACGGCATTTCTATAAAGGCTGGTCCATCTTCTACACTTACTTCTAGCAGCTGATAGATATTAATTACGGTCAGGTTAATTTAAATAGATCTCAGGTAAAAACATAGATCTTGGTAAGAAAAAGGAAGAAGTTTGTTACCTGTTGAATCCAAGATAGACAGAGATCAAACAGAGTGTGATCCAGGAGAAACTGTGCAATAGAATGGATAGCCTCGTTTCCAATATCACTCGAGAGTTGATCAAGAACAGGACCGGTCTTGTCCATTAACTTGACAAGCAAATGATCGTCTCCTGTAGATAATACCTCAGCAAATGCAGAGTCGGTGTCACCAACTCGGAGTGCGTGCATCGCATTGCTCCAACTAGTCCAGACAAGGTCTCCCTTCTGTCCTCCACGGTCATAATCATCTTCGTCCATTATTGCTTCTGCTTGGGGAATAGATACTCGCCTATTCCTTGGCATTCCACAGTCTTCACCAGCCACGCGTATTGCTTCAAGAGTAGCTTCATCTTTTGATGCTTGCCACACGCTTCTAGCAGAAGGTCCTTCACCTAATCGTATAGGTACAGAGCTTTTGTCCCAAGCTCTTCTGCTGTTACCTGAATACTCAGAGTCAAGGGGACCAGTGCCATGTGACCTTCTTGTACTGGTCTGGGTGTTTCTCGGAGAATCTCCATTCTTAGAACTATCCCATCCGTTTACATCATTCCTCCATGATGCAGCCGCCTTTCCCCTCGCACCTAAATCAAAATTTTAAGTTTTTGGGAACTAATAAATATATATTTTCAAATGGATGCAATAGGTTGCGGTTGTTTAACTGCGTAGATCAAACAGATTTTCTTACCTGATTGTATGGAAATTTCTCTCGACATCTCTTCTACTATCCTCTCAAGACCTCTAACACGGTTTTCCAAACTTATCATGCCGTCGTGTGAACCACCCATGAAATCCTGCAATGATAAAGGAGTCGCCTTTTAAGAGTGAAACTGCTTCAAAGCAAATCACTATATTGATTTGAAATCGGAACAGTACCTGCAACATATTCATTATGTGGGTTTGTTGTCTCTCCAAGTGCAATAACTGTCTCTGTAAAGGTGGCCAATTCCCTCTGTTTTCAGATGCCTCTGCCTGGATCGCTTCGGTTTGATCTCCATCAAATGCTCTCAACCGTGATTCACCTCCGTTCATTCTTTCATCAACCCATTTTTCTCTTGCAAAGTCTCCAAAATGTCTTTCTTTGGGATGGACACCAGTTGTTCTGCACAAACCTTTTGACCTACTCCTCGATACTGAAGTATTGGCATCTGATTCATCCTCTGTGTTTGAGGTCGACAAATTTATTTGCTTACAGGGAAGAATAACTTCAACTGGCATACCATCAGAACCTCTTTTTTCCAGTTTCTGGAAAAACTCTGGGTTTAGATCTTTGCCAGTTAATCCAGGTGCTTTTTTCCTCAAAATGAGAACTGCTTTTGAAATGGAATCTGAATTACTGCTCAAACCATCGGAAGAGCCTTGAATCACCAGCCCTGCTCCGTCGCATGCAACTGAATCAGTTTCCCCATTCCTTTCTAACATACATTGCTCAGATAACACATCCTTCTGTTCATCAGATGTTCGAGCTTCACCTTTTCCAGCAATATTCTTCCAGACGTTTAGTGCTTCCGACAAGCTTTCTCTAACAGGTTTTATCTGAACCCCAAAGAAAATATAGCCACTTTTCAGAATGATGCAAAACATGTTGGAAAAAGTATGTAATCCATAGAGACGAGCAAGTAGATTTGTACATTATAGTATATAACAAACATCCGCAATTACTGTTACTATCCATGTCTAGCTCGTATACCTTTGGCTCTGTTTAGTTGATCAGAAAAATTAAACACCGATATCAAGATTAGCTACTCCATAAGGTTCTAAAGACAAGGAAAGAGAATGGAGAGAGCTATTTTCTCATGACCATTAGTGTAATCTGCATTTCTTTTCCTAGTGTCAATCTCCATTCTAACCTTAGATATTGGCGAATGCTAGGAAGATCTTAAGAAAAAAAACCATAGCTATTGCTAACTGTTATAAGCTAAGATGGTAACTCCCAAAAAAGTATAATGTCGTTTCTTTACAGAGATTCACGCGACTGCAAGAACATAGTTTTACTGAAAATAAATGGAGTATACCTTATCAAATCGACAGGCTTCAAGAGCTGTAAGAGTGGAATCTGTTTTGTTTGCAACCAAATTGCTAGAATGGACGGCCAAGGAGATTAAGACATCAGCAGCTGCTTTACGAGTAACCCAATTGGTACATCCAAGGCACTCGTGAATGCTTTGTAGCAATGATTCCAAGCTCTGAGGTGCAATAGCTCCAACCTGCAACAGTTTCATGGTTCAAAATATGTGTAATCCATAGAGAAGAAGACCCAGTTGATTTGACCACCAAGCAGATTAGGGATGAACAATGAAATTTAGACACATAAATCTTCTTCAATGTCATTCTCTTGTGAATTAGACCAAAACATAGCTTGTCACTAGTAGTCCAGTGCCACAGAAACTTTTATATATTACTATCAAGATTCCAAAAATCTTTAGCATTTACCTTCACACATAGAAGTCATTCTAATCTTCTTAGCACAAAACACAAGTAGCCAAATCTAGAGACTAAGCACAACCAGCTGAACCTTCAAGCAGTGAATCCTAATCTAAGAAAATAAGCATTGTACATTTGATATGCCACATTGCACGAACCTGGGATAAGCTTCCAACTACAGGCAAGAGTGAAGCCTTAGTAATGTAATTGGGGCTATTCAAAAACTTGGAGATTCTAGGGCAGAGTTTTTGAAAAGCAGCAACAGGAGGCTCGGTAACTGAATCCACCATCTTCCCCATACAAATCGCAGCACCAGATTGTAAGCTTTTGTTCTGCTCCGCCATTGCTTCAAACAAGGGTTTAGCAAATAGCCCAACCAACGAAGACCCAACGAAATTTCCATCTCCATCCTCCTTCTCCTTGAGAAACTGCGCAGAGAGAGAGCCAATCGCGTCGCGGCAAGCGTCGCGCACACCGTTATCAGCGTCCTTGAGACGCTTGACGATGTGTGAGATGATTTTGGCAAGCTGAGAAGAAGAGAGATCGGAATAAGAGAGGCAGAGAAAGGAGAGGAGTCGTATTGATTCTCTCTTGACCGGAGCTTTAGGATCGGAGAAGGAATCGAAAAGACAATGGAGAAGCACGGGAAGGATCTCGGGAGAATCGGAGACAGAGACGACGATTTTCTCGAGATCATCTACAGCAATCTGATAAGTATCGCGATCACCGAGCCTAGAGAGAGAGGTTAAAATCTTCTGTTTCAATTCCACCATTGCTAAGTGAGAAGAGAAAGCGACGGAGGATCTGACGGAGAACGGAGATGGATTTGAAGAAGGTTTCATTGAAGGTTTTGGAGCGGACTGTGATCGCATTTACGATACTTAGAGATGGTTATAGAAGGAAGAGGCGGAGGAATTACATAGAAGAAACGATGTGATGGTTGAGGGAATATAAGTTGGAGAGTGTTAGAGAGGTTTGTGAGCCATTATAAAAGCTAATTTAGGGTAGAGTTTTGGATGATGATGATGATGTGAAGAAGAAAGAGGTCAGAAGGAAGAAGAAGAAGAAGAAGAAGAGACGTCTGGTATTTTTCCGGCGAGAATGCTAAAACTTTTCTGTTGGGGGTCTTGAGAGAGTGGAGACCACGTCTTTGCCATGTCATTCTTCGTTGTTTTTTTATTTATTTTACTAATTAATTTATCCACAAATATGCTGTTTTAAATTAGTTTGTAGTACATAATTCAATTCCAAAAGCTTCAAAGACTTTTTAAGTTTGAATTAGATTCTTGTTCTGATTGGCCACATTGTTGCTTAATTAATTTTGAGGTTTTCTTTTTTTCTTTTGTTTTTGTTGCCAATCTTAAGTAAATTTAAAAAGTTGGAATGGTTCATGCAAAAACTCTTATAAATAAATTTATAGGAGACCAAAATCGTTACAAAAAAAAAGTTGGAAATTGCTGATTACAAGTTTTTGGGGAATTTGCATCATTGTAACAAGTTAGCAATTTTTTCCCAAAGATTTGATAGGCCACATACTGCTTTAAAATTTTAACATGACTTTAGATTAAATTTAAGGGGTGGTAATTTTTTTTTTTTGACAATTACACATTCATTATTCCTTGGGATAAAATATAAAAGCACATCTATTTCTAACTAAGTCCGTGAAAACAATTTATCAATGTCTTACATTCAGAAATGTACAGTAAAATCTAAGAAAAAGAAATTTTATTTTGCATTCAAATTTACATATTTTAGTTGATTTCAAAATAAATGGTCTGATTTGTAGAGATCAGTGATCTAGGCTTGTTGATAAATGGTCTGATTTGTAGATGATTATGCTCTATAAGTTATACCTATAGAGCAAATTCAAATAGAAAAAGTATTTCATTTTTGTTTCTGAATTAATAGTTTTTGGTTTCATACTTTCATGAGAAAACCAGAAATATTTTTATTACTTAAAAAGAAAAGGAAGCAAAATAAGACAAAAATGTATTTGTTTTAGAAGTTTGAATAATTTTTAATTAAAAACAAAAATCAAAAGTTTGACTATGGGTTTTATGAACCCAAAAAACATTTAAAAAAGTGGTTGCTTTAAACCTAGTTAAGAAGAATTAGATGGCTTTGAAACTATTTTATTATTTTTCTTCCTTCTCACAAAAATAAATAAATAAATAAATAGAAGCAAAATAGTATCTCAAATCCAACGGTGGGGATTATTCAGTGGAAAAAATATTTATTGTCGTTTTTAGATAAAAGGGAAAAAAAATGAGTGGATAATAAAACCACTGAATCTGTTTTACTTTAGTTGGAAGCATTAAGAGAGACAGACAGCTGAGCCATGGCTTCTTCTTCTATCTCATTCTCCTGCGCACCTTCTTTGGCCACCTCACTCTTCTCCACCAGTAACACTTCTTCTTCCCCAAGGCTGCTCTCCTCTCGGTTTCTCGGTACCCGTAACTTAAAGCTTCATATCCGACCAGCCAGACTCGGTCCTTCCAACGGGTCAAGAACCACTTGCTGGTTCAAGTTTGGCAAGAACGGTGTCGATGCTGAAAATGCCGGAATCTATGGCAGTCAGTCTCGTGATGACTTCGACAGAGACGACGTTGAACAGGTTTTTTCTTCTTATGGACTGAAATCAAATTGACTTATATTCCCACCAGGAAGTGCCTTAGGATGGATTCTGATGATTCATTATGCATCTGTGTGGATATACTTTATTAATCAAATTCTCCACTTTGGTTCTTGAATCATGATCCCTAATCGCAGAAATAACACAAATGCCAACTGCTTTGAATTGTAAAGAAAACAGAGGACGAATTAATTTAACACGACATTTTATCTATGTGATAATTGTTATCTTTGTGATGGGTTTTTGCAGTATTTCAACTACATGGGGATGCTTGCGGTAGAAGGTACCTATTCAAAGATGGAAGCTCTTCTTAACCTAAACATTCACCCAGTCGATATCTTGTTGCTGTTAGCTGCTACAGAAGGTGACAAACCTAAGATCGAGGAGCTTCTCAGAGCCGGTGCTGATTACTCGGTCAAGGATGGTGATGGAAGAACCGCTCTAGACAGAGCCAGCAGCGAAGAGATCCGTGACTTGATCCTTGGCTACAAGGCACAAAAGGCTTGAATCCACAGCTTGGTATTAACACACAGGAACCACGCAAGTTGTGTTCTTGGGTTTTGAAATGTTTTTGTTTGCTAGAACAAACTGTCTTTCTGGGTTCCATGCACTAGTAGATTATAAAATCCATCTTCTTCCTTTTTGTCTTTCCCACCTGTTTCTTGTTTCTTCTTTGGGGGTTCTTCTATGGCGTTTGGAGTTATTACAGAGGCGGGTCTTTTCAAAGGTAGAAACGCCACCTTGGTTGCTCTGCAACTCGCTTTTGATGTGTCTACGTTAACTTTTGCCGGGCTAACGGGATTTGTAGACTCATCTTTGGGCTGTTCTGAATCTTCTGTTTGGGATCCATTGTTAGTCTTGGGAGAAACTGCTTCAGTAATGGGGTCCGAACACTCTGTAGCAGTACCATCACCGTTTTTGTCTGCTCCAATCAGTGGAGAAATCAGAGGAGGAGGGATATCTTCTGCAGTTGGTCAATTAAGTCAAAAGCGAAAATCTTTCAGTGATGTACAAACATAAAATTTCTGTATTTGATCACTAAGCCCTTAACAATAATACACATCTAAAACCAAAACTCTCTAACCTTTAAGCCCTTGAAACACTAAAACCATAAAGTTCAAAACAAGTATAAGCCTAGGTAGTCGATAGGTGCTACATACATAACCAGCATACAGTCTAGGGGAACCAAAAATAAACAATCAAACAGTAATATTTTGGAGATTCTTACCTCCGAGAGGAGAAACAAACGTATGATACTGAACTGAACACTCCCTAGTTGAAGCATCTTCTGGATTTTTTGAATCTTCTGGTTGCATCGCATTACCAGTCTTGGACGAAGCTGCTTCAGCAATAGGAGATGAGCTTTCTCTCACAGTAACACCACCGTCGTCTGCATCAAGCAAAGGAGAGAGATCTTCTGCAAGTGGGAAATTAAATCCAAAGCACAAATTATTTAGTCAAATACAAAAAACATGGAAGTTTTGGATCTTACAACGCTTTAGCCATCTAAAACCTAACTCTACTGGCAGAAATCTATACAAGTATGAGACAAGTGAGTGACTCTCTCTAGAATATAGATCTAGGTAGTAAGGACATAACCAGCATTCAAACTTGGGAACGGAAAATAACAACCAAATAGTAGTTCTGTGAAGGTTCTCTTACCCCCAAGAGAAGAAACAGATGTTTGATACTGTATCAAAGGATCCTTAGTAGTAGCATCTTCTGTAACATTTTCCTCTACAGGTTTACTACTCTCATGTTTCTGCAATGTCTCGAGTAAAACATATTTATCGGTCTTCCATACACAATCCAATACGGTGACACACTCTTCTTCCTTTGGATAGAACTCGCGGAATATCTGTATTCATTCCAATAGAGGAAACAGAGTTTATTGACATGATCACTGAACTATGTAAAAAATCTACGAAAGGGTCCACCAAAGAAGCTTTGACTAACCTCAACCCCATCCTGTGCTATCTTTACAGACTGTTTCTTCAGGTATGTAGAGGTTACCGAATTGAAAACTGTCACAGCATCAAGTAATATCTGCATGAACCCAAATTGATAAAGAAAGTAAGCACATTACGCCCACTATAACTACAATAAGATCAATTACAGTGTGTGCCTATAGATCATGGATTGGAGAAACTGCCCACAATGTTCATTTAGTTTTGTTTGGACTAGGCAGAAAAAAAAAAAAGTTAACTTACTTGTTGAACTAACACTCTGAGACGTGCAAGCAGCGCCAAAAATGTCACGGAGAATCCTATGAAAAATGAACGAGCTAGCAGAGTGGATATCCCACTGTAGAACAAATTTGAAATGGAAAAAGAAATTATATCATGAACCGAATGCGATTAAGTCTAAGAAATTACAGACACAGTTGAACTCATGAGCCAATTAATACCTAGCAGCCTTTAAGATGGGTTCAGTCATCTGCAACAAACACAATGATGAAGTCAAAACACTCAGAATCTATTTTTCATATGTATGAGCTGGTATATGATCATCAAGGCTCGTTTACGCAGCTTATCGCTACTCAAGCAAAAAAAGGAAGCTCCATAAAGAAGAGCATACCTGTGAGAGTAAATGAAGAGTTCCACGAAGTCGTTCCAAGACATTTGGTTTCCCAGTATCACATTGTTTCAGCTTCAAGCTAACATAAACCCAAAACTCACAAACTAAGCTCTTACATACATCATTCTCATAAATCATTGAAATCAACATAAGAAAGAGAAGCATACCTCTCCAAAACATGAATCTTCTGTTTACTGATTCTCCCAGAAATAACATGAAAACAAGGTCTCAGAACACCCTCCATGTTTGCTGTCCGTAAAAGTCTCAAATCCCTTCTTACCTGAGCAATTAAAAAAAAAACAAGTTTGCTAAAATTAGACAAGACAATCTCAATGCTGTGACTATTATAACAAGACAATCGAAGAGAAGAACGAAGGAGATGATTAACCTTGAGAAGGTACTGGAAATAGGAGCATCTCCGATGCTGGTTCTTATTCTTGTAAACCATTCTATCGAACACAGCGTGCTCGAGTTCAAGCTGACTAAGCTGACTCTTCAGCTTCTCCTCTAGAGCTTTGGCTTGTGTATCATCCATGGATGTTCCAGCAAATTTTTAATGGATCTTTCAATGAAAATCTGATAAATTTCTCTAATTCGAACAAGACCAAGATTCGAATTTAGGGTTTTGTGTGCTTGCCTTAAACCTTTTTATTTTACTTTCGCTTTGCTGTAAATAAAATTTCCAATTTCGTAAGAACAACGACGCTCACGATTCAACCGTGAACCGTTTCTAAACCAAAAGACATTTAGGATTTGCGATCGAGAAAGCCGGATTGAATCTTTAAGTGATACGGCGCGTTTTCTATGTTGTATGAAATGGGTCGTTAATCTGGGCTTTAGAGAAAAGTCCAGCCCATTACGAGATCAGGTCTAGTCGGTACTACAACACATACTGTACAATACAAATGTCGAAGGATCCTCAAATCTTCCAATTTACAGAGACATTTCAATCTAAGCTTAGGGGGTTATTGGGAGATTGAATCTAAAAAAGTTTGTGGATTTCAAAAGTTTTAGAGATTTTAAAATTCTCAAATATTTTTGTAGATTCTAATAAATGTTTACTAAGTTTTTTAGAGTTTAGTAGATTATTAATATGATAGATTTTACAAATACTTATGTAAGTGCAGTATTTTGAAAGTTGTTGTTAATGACCAAATATGTAGGAAATCATATTCCCAATAACACTAGAGTTTAATAGAATTGTAAAATCAATAAGTACTCAATTTTTTGAATAACAAAAGATTTTAAATGAAATTACAAAATCAACACACCAATAACAAAAGACTTCATTAAGAATTTAAGAATCCATAAACCAATAACAATAGAATTTTAGATTCTAACAATCTTTAAAAACCATTCTCCCTAATTCTACAAGAATCGTTTAACCCTAATTCACGTTACGATCTCAAATACAAAATTAGGAGACGGCCTTGGAACTAAACTAAAGTATAACTCCGGCCAATACTGCTAAGATTGGCGGCTGGTGATTCAAAAAAAAGTTGTTGTACCCGACTACGACTACAATGTAGACGAAGGAGAAATATTTCTTTTTCATTCTAATGGATTTTTTTTTTTGCTGTAATTATTTTTTCTCTTTTTCAATTTCTTTTCTCCTTCTGGATATGTTCAATTTGGTGAAAAATTAAATTAGGTTAAATTCCAACAAAAATTTGGTATTTTTGATTTAACAAGTTGTGTTTATTGATTTACTTTTGGTATTTATCTAGGTCAAGTTTTATAAAGATTTAAATTTTTAATGGTGTTTATTAAAGAGACAAAAAGTTTGCGTAGAAACGCTGTGAAAGCAACAAATACACGAGGGCATAATGAGGCAGCCCTTTTTATAATCATGTCATAATACACTAGTTTAGTACTCATCCGATAGATCGGTTATCTTGTTCAAAATAAAATTAAGATCAACTTAATTATAACTTATAAGAAAATAATATCCAAAACTTTCTTTGGAAATATAAAAGAATATTTTTAATTTGGAAAGAGATTTTTTTTTAGTCCGAAGAAACTAATATATGTGTATATATATATATATATATTTAAAACTCTTTATTAAACGTTAGTTATAAAAATCTAGTAATGTTAAATTGTCAATCACCAAAACATCTAGCTATTCACTATTATTCATAATATTGCCAAAATATTAAAGAAAAAACTTAATTTATCAATTATCCTCTAAAACATGATTATACCATTTTATTAAAAAATTGTTATTGCATAACTTTCAATTAAAAAAAAAAACATTATGAGACTATGCAATATATTGTATTGATTATTTCTGGCAACAAAACTTGTTTTTTTTTTTTGTTAAAGCTGGCAACAAAACTTGTTAAGATGAAAGCACAACACAATGATTAAAATTGAGGACAAATTGAGCATTTTGAGGACGTTTATGTCATGTTCTTTTCGATAACAAGTGGTCTTTTTCAACCGTCATATAGATTCATATACTAACTTAGCTTGTTGAGATGAATCTTAATTATACACATACAATATATGATACATTACTACTTATGATTATATTTATAGTCATTTTGTAAATTAGTCTTCTTTCTAAAATACTTCAAAATTTTCTTCTCAGAAAAGACCACTTTTAAAAAAATGGTGCGCAAAGATATTGCGTAAGCAACACTAATGTGATGAAAGATATTGCGCAAGCACACTGTTTTAGAAGATCGGAACTTAAAATACATCAGTCGACAAATTGAGAATTGCTATTTTAAATAATCTGTTTGACAAACAAAAAACTTGGAGAATCTTATAATTAAATTTGTTTTCTTTCCGGTTTCCACATAGTTAGTTACATTCTTGTTCTAGAGTATATATTACAACGATATTGATTTATGAACATACTTATTTCAAATGAAATATATTATCTTTAAATAAAATTGGGAGCTAACATCATCTAGAACTAGAGACTAGATGACATATGTGTAAAGAAACTAGAAATCAAATAGTTTTTAAGAGACGGCAAAATCCAAAAATAAAAATATTTTGAGAGAGTAGTACATGGTTCTTACTTCTTGAAATAAATAAATTTAATTAGGTCAATGATCAAGACATGTAATTCGTGGAGAAGTGGTAATAAAGATTCAACGAGAATGTGTGTGGATTATAACGTGGCAAGCAGGCTAAAAATAGTCTTCATATATTTTTCTAAAACACTTACAATTAACAACTAATTGAATAACCGAAACGTGATGAAGGTAATAGTGAAGGTTAAGGCCAAATAACAAAAAAAAAAAAACGGATAATAATAATGGATGAGTGTATGGTTTTGTATATAATATATAGTTGGTCCACGATTCTTGAACCTTTTTGAGTCCGGCAAGACAATTTTTATACATGATCTAATATTATGAGAGAATAGTTTGATGTAACACCTATTTGTATTTTTGGGTTGTTAATACCATTTTCCAAGATGTTAAATGTGTGAACACAATTTTCGATTTTAGTCTTATGAGAATATATAAAGTACCCATCGTAAGTTTAATTAGGTGACGCAAAAATGTATGACGTTAGACGATGCGTATGCGATGTTAAGGTGTCAAAATTTTGACCTAGATTAGATTTCGTCATGGTGAAAAGAAGATTTGATGATAACGATGTTAACCCTAATATATATACTGTATGTGGTTGCCACTAGCGAATATTCATATAGCTTCTTATCGTGTGATACTTATCAAAAGAATTTTATATATCAATAAAAGATATATACAAGTAATAGATATATTTTATAGCTATAGACAACATAGTGTATGATGGTTGATATATATGTAGTATATACGATAATAGTTCAATGATTACCGCTTTGTTGCATGAACTTAATTAGTGGATTAATATCTAACAATAATGGATTCTAAAAATAACACAAATTTTAGTGTAAAATCTTTGGTTATAAAGTAATATATACCAAAGATCTTCAAGATATATAGAAATTAGCAAAGATGCATGATAATGATATACATAGTTAACCAATGATTTCAGGTATATATTGATCATGGACTTTTAACCTATAGTATGTATGTCAGCTATTTTAAAATTCTCAGATAATATCGATGTCAATGAGTGAATCTTGTTGATGAATTAGGTCATGGCTTAAAATATGCATCTCTTTTATAAACGAAATCGAACATTATTGAAAGTGTAATATATATTTTATTTTTGGGTTGATTTTTTATGATGATAATATAATATAATCCGAGAATGATATTAGATTTTAGCAAACTCACTCAAGAGAGAATAAGAGATCAAGGAGAGAAATGTGAAACGTGCACAATCACATTATCCACTAACCCACAAGAAGGTCGACCACTTTCCCTCCTTTTTCTCGTTCTTGCATATCAAGCAAACCCAATACTATCTTATACAAATAATTAGTCCTAAGATTATTTTGTTTGTTTAAGCAAATATAAAATACTATTTATTCTTCATATTTTTTCTTCTTTAAAATTTTAATTTGTAGAAATTGTTTGACATAATTTTTTTTCTTAACACTTTATAAATATCTGAAAATCGAAGTTCATATCATGTAAAATTAATTTAAAGACAAATGTTTCACAAAAACCAAACACATGATCTCTTGTTGTTGTGAATCTTTTAACGATCCTATAGTTTACTTAGTTGAAAAAAGTACATATGTCTAAGATCCGTAACTAGTTGGTATATATAAAATTACAACAAAAATAAATAAAAAATTATAAAGACAAAAAAAGGACAAACGGACCAAAATGTGCCACACCTCCAACTTCCATGATCTAAACCTTTCTCTTGACTATATAAATGAGAGCCTATTCTATAACAAAATCATTTGCCAACAAAAAGTCTCAGCTTCACCACATTACACACCTTTCCTTTTACATTACCCCCCAAACACTTCAATGGAGAACTCCGTAAACAACTGCACGAGACAAAGAGTGTTCTCCAATCACCAAATCAGAACGATACACGAAGAAGATCAAGAAGAGAGTAGTTGGATAGTCTACTTTGAAGACATTGATCATGACGATGAAATGGTGGAGACCGAACAAGATATGAGTCATTACTACGATAATGATTCCTCAATGATCTCGGACGCTGCATCTCCTGTCCGCACCAATAATGTTGTTCGTCGAAAGGCTACCAACATTAATACTAACCCTAAAAAGAGAAGAATCATTCATCAACACAAAGATGAAGAAGAAGAACACAAAGGAGAGATTGAAGAAGAAGATGAAGAAGACACAGCTTCTTCTCCTTCTAATAAAACCAAGGTTAGATACATACTGGATGGTGCGGAAGATACTGAAAAAGCCATGGACAATGTTACATCTGAGGTAATTAAGAAACATTTGTTGCATGAAACTGATAAATTTCATAAATAATAAATCTGAATTTGGACTCACAATAAATTATTTTCTTTGGGGAATTTATAGGAGAAAGGATACATAACACTTACAGAGACAGGATCGAAGATAAATGAAGTTATGAATGAAGAATTCTCTGCAGAGTTGAAGAAGAGAGGACTTTGTGTAGTTCCTTTGTCTATGTTATCTAACTTTATTGCTTGATGATGTTTTTACTTTTCTAACCGCTGTCATTATTTTTTATTCTTCTGATTCTTTCATGTAAAATTGTTACCAGTATTGACCAAAATGTATAGATATCGAAATTTCATATTGGAAAGTTTTAAACACTTTGCTTTTGTTTGTCAGAAGTCGTGGGAGCGAATCAAATTGTGAGACACAGATTGTGTGACAAAGATTCTTCAGACCGTTTATTATTACAGTTTTGATATGTACACACTACCTACTGTGGTCTGCACCTGAAAATACAGAGAGCTTTAGGAGATGGTTACATAGACTGAGTTTTGGTTTATCGGGTTCTCATTTCTTTTCGGGAAGTTTCTCCAGCAACTCGGGTATCACCTCGAATAGATCTCCAACAAGTCCATAGTCAGCTACCTACAATTGCATAGCCAATCCTTTTAGCATATTTTGGTCCTCACTTAAATCGACGGAGAAGAAGGGTCTCGACTATGTTTGTTACCTGGAAAATAGGTGCATCCGCGTCTTTGTTAACCGCGACAATCACCTTAGAATCCTTAATTCCAGCCAAGTGTTGAATGGCTCCTGAAACACCAAACGCCATGTAAAGCTCTGGAGCCACTATTTTACCTGTTTGTCCCACCTACGACGATAACACAAACAAACAAACTCTTATTAAATGGAAGGAAAAAGCAAGCAAAGATCCAAAAATATTACCTGAAGATCATTAGGAACATATCCAGCATCAACAGCAGCACGAGTTGCACCAACTGTCACAAACAAACCATTAGATATGAACAAACATTTTGAAGCATATTAACCTTCTGATGAGATAGAAAGCAAACTCAAATATATTCCCCCATACTCATTGGTGATTAGGATTAGCATATATACCAACCTGCTCCACCAAGTTTTTCTGCAAGCTTTTCAATCATTTTAAAATTCTCAACACTCTTCAACGCTCTTCCACCAGTTATCACAACACGCGCACTTCCAAGATCAGGCCGTTCTGTATCCTGAGTTGAACATCCCACGTATCTAGATTTGCTGGCAGAGTCTGCAATAGGGAATGGAAAACTCAATTTCTTAAAAAAGAAAGAAAAGTTTAGGATAGGAATGCACAAGAGAAAAGTAAACGAACCTTCTTTGAAATTTGAGAGATCAATCTGAGAGATAGTAGCTTTCCTTGACTCGGAGTCTACTGTAATCGGGGTGACAGGAAAAGATGTCGATCTAATAGTCAACATACAAGGCCCCCCACCAGTATAACGTACTGTAGACAAAGCGTTTCCAGCATATATAGGCCTGACACAGATAAAAAAAAGCTCGGTTTCAGTTCACTTTTCCAGAAAGATTAGCAACACACATCATTATCCAACGGGAACGAGAGAGAGTTGGAGTATACCTGATAAACTGATTGGATTCTAAGATTTTGACAACATCAGTAATAGGAGAAACATCCAAAAGAGCAGCGACACGGGGTAATATATTTTTTCCAAATGAACTAGAGGAAGCAAGGATATGCGAGTAATCTCCTTGTTGCCGAACAAACTCAACCAATTTAGCCCAAGGTTCAGCTAGTGGATACTCAAATTTATCAGAATCAGCTACAAGTACCTACAAAATTACCAACATTGAGACCACACGCAACAAAACAAAAGCACATGAAGAAAATGATAATGTAGTTCACCTCAGAAACAGAAGGATGGCAAGAGGCAGCTTGGGCAGCAGCTTCTTGAAGAGAAGAGCCAGAACCAGCCAATAACAAAGAAATTGAAGAATTTTCACCCAAAGAATTAGCTGCAACTACTGTACTCACTGTCTGAGGTTTGATTGAACCACTCTCATGTTCAGCTAGAATCAGAGTGCTAATCTACATGCAACAACAACAAAAACGTAATATTCTCAGCATAGGAGCAACAAGAAAATATATAGAAGCTTCAGAAATTGACTATTTCAAAACCAAAATTTTCCCACTTGAGCATAATTAAAAAAAAGTTCGTCTTTTTACTCTCTAAGACTTGAAAAAAATAAATGAAATCAACACAAAGACTGATCCTTTACCACTTCCAATTCATATTCAAAAAATTGGAAACTACTAACTCGAGCTTTGGGGACAACGAAAGCAATACAATAAATTAAGGAACTGAAAGAATCGATTTTCCCGAAAAGATCGGGTAAAAAGTGGGTAGGAGTTCAAAGATCATACGCATCGAGAGAGGTTGGTGATGGAGATGGAGATGGAGATGGATCGAGGAGCATTAGAGGCGACGAACTTGTTCTTCGTCAGAGCTCTCAGTAGAACAGCTCTCGTCATCGTTTCCGTCTTCTGATTGGTTTCTCCATCAGATTGAAAATAGAAAAAGAAATAAACGAAACTTATCCAAAACGACGCCGTTTACCATTCAAAGGCAATATCATTTTTATTTCTTTTAAGGATATGATTTTTATTCTTTGACCTGAGGATTAGTCAAAAGATCAAAGCTGATTGCTTCATTTCCATTTGTAGATACTTATTTCACAAAATTAACATATTTTTATTGTGCGATGATTCCTTCCTAGAGAGAACAGAGAAAGAATAAAAATCTTAACTTTAAATGATGAAAAATTCTTCCTACCAAAACTCTGTTTTGTTGAAGATCTCCAAATAGTTTTAGCTAAGTGGGATCACGAGACGGCCTTAGGAACAGAATCAGATATACAGAGAGAAAGAGAGAGAGAGAGCTCACTGTAGAGATCTGTTTCTGTTAAAATCCTTTTTTCTCCTGCCGCAGCCATGGTTTCCACCACCAAGATCAAGTCCGTTGATTTCTTCAGGTACATCATACAAAATAATACCCTCTTTTCGTTTAACAATTTTAATGATAATTCTCGTCATTGGCATCGATGCACATGCGAAAGTTTGTACCTTTTTGTACAAATTTGACAGTATCTGTTAAATTATGCATTGTGAGCATTCGACATTTGGTCCTGTCTTTCTCGTTATTCATCTTGTCCCTCTCTTGAGAATTGTATACTTGTGTTGTCTAGAGTTAGAACTAAGTGTGATTGTATTGTTCTGGTTATGATCCCTTTTGTTTCATCAGGAAAATCCCAAGAGATTTGACTGAGGCATCTCTCTCTGGTGCTGGATTATCCATTGTAGCTGCCCTTGCTATGTTGTTTTTGTTTGGAATGGTAATAGTCATCTCTGCTTTGTTTTTCTCTTCTTCCAATTTTTTATGTGTGAAGAAAGAATAGCATATGGTTCTGCCACTGTCCAATGATTCTGGCTGATGGTTTTAACTTGCAGGAGCTGAGTAGTTATTTGGCAGTTAACACTAGCACATCTGTAATAGTTGATAAAAGCTCTGATGGGGACATCTTAAACATTGATTTCAACATCAGGTAGATGAAAATTGTGTGTTATTGGTTAGAATGAACAACACCACCATGCCATTTTTTATGACACTGGTTGTTCCTTCTTATTTGTTTATGGTTCAATCTTATTTAGAACACTGGTCGTTTCTTGATAAATTGATGTCTGGTTTTTCGCCAATTTTTGTAGCTTTCCTGCCCTCTCATGTGAATTTGCATCGGTTGACGTGAGTGACGTGTTGGGAACTGTAAGTTTCTGCTTCCACTTCTCAGTCTAGCTCTTTCTATCATCCCATTTCGCGTTGCAAACATAGAATGTTCTGTTTAACCCAAAAAGTTGATGCTTTCTTTGATTACAAAGGATGTATGTTATCAGTTGTGCAGTGACAATGATTATGGTCATATATCCCATGTTTAATTTTTGTTAATTAAATTCTTCAGCATAGGTTGAATTTAACGAAAACGATTAGAAAAGTTCCAATTGATCCGCATTTAAGAGCCACTGGTACGGAATTTCACTCCACCTCTGGATTACATCTCATTAACCATGGAGACGAGGATCATGAAGAAAATACTTATATTGACATACCATTAACTGGTGCTACTTTTGAGAAGTATAAACATCAGTAAGTTGCCAACTTCTTCTATATTGTGTATACTACTATCTATGAGTACACACTGTATCTCCAGGTGTGTTAAAGATGAATTAATGAAATTGAACTTTCTTTATGCAGTTTTCAAATTTTGGTTGTTAACTTTTATGCGCCTTGGTGCTACTGGAGTAATCGCCTGGTAAATATGAACTTGCAATTTTTATGATATTTTTCATTTGGTTTGCAGTTACTAGATTTTCTTGATGAAAACTATATTTTAGATGTTCTTATCACAACTTAGTTGGCTTCATCAAATAAGAAAGAATCTGCCTTTGTTTCCTTTACTACTGTAATTATAATTGACCAAGTGATGAAGTCTAGCAGACAATATACTCTTGGAGGATGAGTCAAACTATTGTGAGAGTTTTTCTTGGTCTGATAGATACCTATATTAGCTCAATAAATATGTTCAGGCTTTGGTCTTTTACCTTTTTTTTTTTTGTTTGCTCGGCTAAAATTTTCAGAAACCATCTTGGGAGAAAGCTTCTCAAATAACAAGAGAGAGGTGTGCGTTTTTGTTTTTCTGTTTTTTCTATTTGGTATGAAACTGTTTCTGATGATATAACAAGAGTCGTCGAGTTACAAATTTCTGATGCTTAATTTTGGAACATGTGCTGTTGCAGATATGATCCCGAAACTGATGATCGTGTTCTTTTAGGAAGTGTTGATTGCACAAAAGAATCTACTCTATGTAAGAGGTATTTACCAATCTTGATTTTTTTCTTCCATATTTCTTGTTGCTTTAGGGTAAAAGTCAGATTAGTTTTTTTCAATTTGACTGAAGCCTAAGTTACCAAATGACAACTTCAGCAATCATATACAAGGCTACCCATCTATCCGGATTTTCCGCAAAGGCAGTGATCTTAGGTGAGCAAATTATTTCATTAGCTTCAGTTATGATTCTTCATGTCGTCTATGTAACTATTTATTCGCCTCTTTGATAAAACTCCATTTCATGTTTGGTAATCGATTGATATCTGATCTTAATTCAGGGACGACCATGGGCACCATGATCATGAATCTTACTATGGAGATCGGGACACAGATAGCCTAGTCAAGGTAGACTGATCTAAATTAGATTCTACGTTGGGAATATATGATGCAATAGTCACATTCTTCAACCTGTTTCTTGTGTATTTACGTAAGAAATTTACGTGTTTCTTTGATAAAATTTTATATACAATGATTTATTTCCTTCAGATGGTGGAAGAACTGCTCAAACCTATCAAAAAGGAGGATCATAAGTTGGCGTTGGATGGTAAATCTGAGAATGCGGCCTCAACCGTTAAAAAGGCACCAGTTAGTGGAGGTTGTAGAATTGAAGGCTATGTGCGTGCGAAGAAGGTTATAATGTTAAACATCCAATTCTCTATGAGATGTTTGATGTGTTTTGCTTTTTGTTTTCTAATGGTGCCAATGTTTCTTATATATTGTTTTTTCTTTTCAGGTTCCGGGCGAACTTGTAATCTCAGCTCATTCAGGAGCTCATTCATTTGATGCTTCTCAAATGAACATGTCTCATATTGTTACCCATCTAACATTTGGTACAATGGTTTCAGAAAGGTTATGGACTGATATGAAACGATTACTGCCTTATCTTGGCCAAAGCCATGATAGGCTGAATGGAAAATCGTTCATCAATCAACGACAATTGGATGCTAATGTTACAGTAAGTTGCACAAATTTCTTGTGAAGTACTTTCCTACTCGAGGTTTCTCTTATAACGTGGAACAATACAGATCGAACACTACTTGCAAATAGTCAAAACAGAGGTCATTTCAAGAAGATTCGGCCGAGAACACTCATTGATTGAGGAATATGAATATACTGCTCATAGCAATGTAGCTCATAGTTACCATTACCCCGAAGCAAAGTTTCACTTTGAGCTCTCTCCAATGCAGGTACAGTGCACAGATGAGAAATACATATATCGTTCTACTTAGTTCAATACCTATTCTCCTTTTTTCTTACACTATACATTTGATCCCTGCTCTGTTTTATTTTGCAGGTGTTAATAAGCGAGAACCCAAAGTCATTCTCACACTTCATCACAAATGTATGCGCCATAATAGGAGGTGTTTTCACGGTATAGTATTTGTCTCACAGCCTTGAATTTTGTTTCAGTTCCTTGGTGTAGAAGTTAATGCCCTAGCTTGTTGGTTTCCAGGTCGCAGGAATACTAGATTCGATATTTCAAAACACAGTAAGACTGGTGAAAAAGATCGAACTCGGGAAAAACATTTGATCAGAGATGAGGGAGGTTAGATGTTAGTGTTTACGTATACCTTGTAGAACCTTTTTATTTTCGAATCGCAGTTTCAAAGAGAGAATAAAGAAAATTTAATCTTTGCAGCATCTTTATCTTTTTTTGATTGTTTTTCTATATTTATATTTTATTATATGTCTTCTTGTTATATGAATAGTGTGTATATATCATTTACATTAGAAATAAACAACAATTCAACAACACACGCACAAATACGCCATTACCAAGTTAGCTGAAAAGGTAAAGAAACAGAGTAACAACAACGCAATCAGAAGGCAAAACAGAGGAAGAACGGCCAAGCTGTGTTTAGGGGAGTCTCTTGTGACAATGTTAAGGTTATTTCAGAGGTTCATGTGTTGAGAGGAGACTAAAGACAGGCGAAGGAGGTCGTGAAAATAGGCTTCTGCATCTATCAGTCATTACAAATTTACAATGCATGACAAGCTTCTGATCCTAGTGACGATTTTATTTGTTTGCACTGAGTCTTGTTTAGTTAGTAGACGAAGACTGCATTGTCCATGATCATGATTCCATATGAGTTATGTATCTAATCTAAGTAAAATGGTTTCTTTAGGAACTTATGCAGAGAGATCACTTGATGAGCTGATGATGATGGCACGATCCAACCCTTTTTGTCCACCTCATGAACGCTCTGGCACATACTCTGTGAAGGATCACGAGAAGACAGACACATGTACTACACTAGAAAAACCAAACCCATTAATCTATTCTTTTATTTTATTGTGGGATCTCACAAATTTTTTAAAAAATTGTTTATGAACTTTAATTATTTCGTTAGGTTGGATTACATTATTTGTCCTGTCACAATTATTTTATCTTAGTATTTAGAATAAATAATAGCAGCCGAGCAAAAGGGTCCCCTAAACGTAATAATTTGATAAGTTTAACATTTTATATCTCCCGATCATGTTTTTAAAATAAGTTTAGTGATAATATATTACATATCATCAATTTGTACACGCACTTAGTCGAATCATTCCATGCTTTGTAATATTTTTATATTTATAAATTTTCAGTTTCATATTTATAAGCATGATAGAT